CCAGAGCCAGGCACAGGTGCCCAGAGGAGGGGGTGTGGGAGGAGACGCGGCCCCTGCTGGCCTGGCCCAGGTCTGTGCCCATCCCAGGCCCTGCCTCTCTTGAGAAGGCAAGGCTGGCTGCAGCTCAGTGAAACACAGGAGCCAGCTCTGGCACTCAACTCCCTCAAGAACACCCGTGTTACAGTTCTACCTTCTGCCCACACCCGCCCTGGCTGCACAGCACTGTTGCCCCCAACATTATATAAACCCAACACTCACGGGGGCTGAGCGCACTTGAAAAGATGATGAAAATGACATCACATTTGAGAAGAAAAATGTGTGTGTGTGTTGGTATGTGCTGTACTGGTATGTGTGTTGGTGTGTGTGTGTATGTGAGATGTGTGTGTTTGAGTGTATATGTTTTGACATGTGTGTATTGGGGTATATAGTGTGTGTATGTGTTAGTGTGTGTGTTGGGGTGTATGTATGTACGTTGGTGTGTGTGAGGGTATGTGTGTGTTGGTGTGTGTGGGTGTGTTGGTGTGTATGTACGTGTGTGTCTGTTGGTGTGTGTATTGGGGTGTGTGTGGGGGGATTCTTCACCCAGCCTTATGTTTTCTGCTTGACACTCCTTACACAACAGGGCGAACTGGAATTCCTGACTCCAAGACCCTGGGCGGTCCTGGGCCGGCCGAGACAGCTGGGAGCCACTGCAGAGCGCGCAGGCCTCCCCCGGCTTCGATCCCTCCTGCTGCACTAGCAGGCCTGGTGGACTCAGCCCCTCACCTAGCCTCAAGCTTTAACCAGGAGGAACTGGCGGGGAACCACACGGATATCCTGAGTTCCTTAAGTCTGTGTGCCTTTTAATAACTGGGCAAGCAGTCAAAGTGAGAAAAGATTTTATCTTCAATGAGAAAATTAATTTAGCAATCCTATTTTGCAAATATTTTCTGCAGGAATGCATAAATAAAACCTGAAATATTGTTTGTAAGGGCAAAACACTGTGGTTGTGACTTGGCAGATGTAAACCCCGTCTGGCCTTGTGGAATTCCACGGCCCTGCTGGTGACGTCAGTGCGGGGACAATGACCAGCGCACACTTCACCTTGCATGCACATGCAGCTATAACACACAGGACGGGGAGTCTGCACACAGAGCTGCTTGTCACTATTGGGACTGTAAGCAGACCCTTCACAGCGTCAAATACTGGAATGGTTTCTTTGACGAGCACAATTAGAGAGGAAATGAAGGTACTCCAGGAGCACCCAGCGCTGGCAGTGCAGGGAGCGCGCCTCACGGGCACACGCGGACAAGGAGCACGCCTCACGGGCACACGCATGCTGCAGTGTGCAGTGATTGTTGGGGAATGCCTGCATGACAGCAAGCAAGGTCTGTGTGTCCATCCCAGAATCTATTTGCAGAAGCTTCCTCAAGTAACCATCTTTAATTATGATTCATGTACAAAGGATCTGAGGACATTATTTGCCACAGCAAAAAAAAAAATTACATATGCAACCTTATTGAACTAGCCAATTACAGTACATCTGTCCCAATAAAGATGATAATGAACTCATGAATATATGTGCCCACAATTATGCCACGAGGTCTAAGTGGTAACACTGTCCCCCTACTATGGTCATAGCTAGGTGCATGACAGGTGGGAATCCAGCCAATGTTGGCCATGCAGATGTTTTTATTCCTAAGTTGGCTTTGCTGTTATTCATTTTTATGTGCTTTTTTTCCTGTAATGATCACATTCAGTTCTACCATCCAAATAACAAGCTAAATTCTTAATATAGTCACCACTCTTAACATAGTAACCACAATAAAGCCTGAACATATCAGATGACTTGGTGATGAGAAAACAGAATCAATTAATGAGGGCAAGTTGAAAACTTTTACCCTGCAAGGAAATGGGTGATTTCCAGGAAGGAATCATTTGACTGAAGAGTCAGTGGCCTGACCCTGAGGGACGTCCCATCAAAGGGAGAGGGGAACGGGACAGCGGTAAGCCATGACTACGTGCCACTGGTCACGAGGAAGACCCTCACCAAGGTCCCAGACACAGTTCTCTTGGAGAAACCTCACAGAGACACATGTAGCTGATGGCTCTCCAGTCCCTACTTGGCACCAAGTGGGCTCGTGTGCTCGCAGAGCCTGGACGGCACGTGGACAAGCTCACGTGGAAGGCAGTGCGCGAGCCCTTGCAGGGCTGGCTGAGCGGCTCGCATTAGCGAGTGAGACCAGAGAGCAACACAGCACAGTCACTGACAGACGCTGACGACGGCAGTCGCTGGGTCGGGGAAGGGGAAGCTGGGCCAGTGAGGTTGGGGGGAAAACGGGACTCCAAAAGATTTTAGTCCAATTCTACCCTGAGGCTCAGTTTGGCTGCACGTTATTTGTTGCCATTTTATACACATATATACACATGCCACACCCTCATGTATCCACACATATTTCATAACAGAAATGAAAAACATTTCTTTTTCTTAAAAGGTCAGAGTCTTGAAAATTTGCAAAAAGATCAAAAGCAACTTGGCAACCTTGGAGGCCCTCTAGTGTCCAACTCAAATTTCACACCATCTCTCATCATTTCACTTCAGAAACAAGTGAACAGAGAATGAGGAAGCTTTGACTTTTAGAAAGATTACTCTAGATGCCACATGGAGAAGGAGCTGGAATGAGTCCTGTTGCAGGAGTTAGCTGGGCACACTTGGATTAAGGTTTTGTCCACATGGATGGAGAGGAGAGACCTCCACAGGACTTGCAGATGGAATACGTCCTCAGTGGACACTCAGTGTTAAAACACCAGCTGTTAGGGAGCTCACACGACAGTACCCAGCTAGTGGCTGGATGTGGCTCTCCAAAGTCTACTCTTTTCTCTTAGACGCACCAATTGCATCTTTGGCCTCCCCATATTGTAAGAGGGACCATGTAACTGAGCTCTCCTTTTACCTATACATTGTGTTAAAAATAATGATTCAGTATATAATACTAAATTATAAAAACACGCACATTCCCCATTGGAGTAGCTGTACCAACAACAAGTCTTGGCTCCTGATTCCAGTTTCCTGCTGACACAGACCATGGGAGGCAGTGGAGAGACTGAAGGATCCTGCCTCCCACATGGAAGGCCTGGACTGCATTCTTAGCTCCCACTTGCTCAAACCAGTTGCAAACATCTGGGGAGTGAATGAGTAGATGGGAACTCTCTCTCCAATGAAGAAAACATTGATTGGGATTCATGTCATGTACTTTCACGAGGTCTTCTGCGTGATCTGTTAGTCAAGACAGAGCTGAATCAAGATGCAGCTGACATCTGGCAGTTTGGTTGCTTAAAGGAAACAACAGTGCTTTGACTTGATGCCTGCCTTGTGAATACAGGAAAGGTACATCCAGCCTATCATCATGGCAGAATCATGTACAGATAAAAAATGGCCAAAAGAAAAACTTCTGTACTAAACACACACAGACCTTTTTTGGGTCAGCATTCCATAAATAATAGAATTTAACAGCTGCTAGAGACATGTTACAGAATACAGGAGACCGCCTAGGTTAAATGCAGATGCCATGGCATCTTACACAAGGGATCTGAGAATCTGTGGGTGTTGGAATCAGGTGCGGTCTCCCCATGGATACTTTAGAATAGTTATGATTTAACCTGAGCTTCAGTATACTCGTTGCTAAGACTATGCACGGGAGAAAGAGAGAGAGAAGGAGGGAGAGGGAGAAAGAGAGAGAGGGAGAGAGGATGGAGAGGGAGGGAGAGGGAGGCAGAAAGAGAGAGGGGGAGAAGGAGGGAGAGGCAGAAAGAGAGGGAGAAAGCAAGAGGGAGGAAGAGGGATGGGGGGAGGGGGGTAGAGAGAGTGTGAGAGAGAGAATGAAAGGATGAGCTCTTGCACCTGCTGCTTCACTCCCCAAAAGCACAGTGACTGTGCTGAGGCACAGCCAAAGCCAGGAACTAGGGACTAAGTCCATGACTCTACCCAAGTGGTAGCAACCACCTGCTCCCATCCAAGATTTGTATTAACAGGAAGCTGGGATCAGAACCCAGAGCCACGATTTGAAGCCAGGTACTCCGAGACAAATTTTTAACTGGTACCTTCAACAATAGGCCAAATATCCATTCCTAAACATATATTTCATAGCTTATGGTACACAAACAATCCCCAAGTTAACCATGGATCCACTTACGACTTTTTTCACTTTGTGATGATGTGAAAGTCATATGCATCTAACAGAAACCTATGTTTGATTTGGCTCTTTCCTGTACAGTCTGCCCTGTCTGGTAATGTTGGCAGTGGGGTTCAGAAACACTCACAGCCGTGTGGGGGACAACCCACGCTCCAGCATGCTGTGTGCTGATTGAGGGCGCGCAGTGGGGCAGGCAGATTAAGTGCCTTTTCCCCTTATGATATATGCAATATCTGATAAGTTTCTTAGGAAATAATCCCATAGTAGGTTGAAGAGCAGCTGTATAAGTATTTTGCACACACACACACACACACACACACACAGCATGACATTACTGCTGTCCTGTCCTTCCTCAGCTTCAGGCCACCTGTACATGTCCCATGCCGCTGCTGCCCTCTTGGCTGTGCCAGCTAGCCCTCTTCCAGAGAGCCTGGGCTGTACCTGTTGTCTGCCCGGACCACTGTTCCGGAAAGCAATACCCCAGCACCGACACACTCATCTTGTTCTTGAAAACAGCCCAGCTGAGCAACTTACCATCGGGGTGGGAATGCTTACAGCCCTCACTGGTCTGCTCCCACCCCATCCCACCTGGCAGCATTTGGCCTCACAGTCACCTGAAGAGCAGCAGGTCACACAGAGAAAGTGACTTACTCAGGGTCCAGGTGAGTCAGTGCCCTACACCATCACCTCTTTAATGGCAAACACTGCTTTTTCCAGAAAACACCTTTCTTCTTAAGCCATGTTTAAGCAAAACACTTGTTTTAAAATCATGTCCATTACCATGCTTCATCCTCAGTGGAAAGCAGGCCCATTCCGAGCAGAACTCACCGGCCTGTGCTGGTGTAGTGAGGTTTAGAGTGCCGAGGCTTGGCGAGGGACGTGATGTCTCCCAAAGGGTTGTCCACGTCATCAGCATTTGTGGACTGCACGTGACCACTGTTGGGGGGAAGGGGAGACCCACAGTTCTTGACGAGGAATAGCTGGACAGTGTTCTAATAGGAAATTCTGTTTCCCAAAGTGGATCTAAAGCTCACAGCACAAAAACTGCAGGTGATTTTCTTCCTTCAGAGAACAGGTGCTATGCCCTGCGTCTTAAGCTGGAGGGAGAGGGAGAAGAGCAGCTGTTTTGCGCTGGGTTGTGGCTGCAGCCCAGTGATGCAGGTGGAGCCAGCCTGAGCCAGCCTGAGCCAGCCTGAGCCAGAGCTAACAATTCTCCCCATGCTGTGGTGCGAGCAGCATCAAGCCATGAGCCCGCTGGGCTGCTAGACGCTCCCAGGGCTGCACGGATGTCAGAGAGTGACCTGGCACTTCTGGAGCCACCAGGAGTGATCCTGGTCTCCTCTGGTGTGGAGCAGCAGAGGCTGCAGTAGTGAGTGGAGGCCCTGCTTGTCCTCCACATTCAAGTGTCTATCTATGCTGTTCCGGCTTATCTAGTCCACACAGAGGAGACTCCCGTGGTGGACAATGAACTTCTTCACCATTCATGTAAAGCCAGTTGTAAATGCAGAAAAGGCATACAGCATTTCTGGCCCTTCAGGGTTCATGCATATATGATACTTTCTGTATCAACCCTAGCAATTCAGCACTAAAGAGTCATGAGCAATAGAGCATGGGATGCTTTCTCTCACAAAATAGTAAAGTACCACTTCTCATTTTACACTCAAAACTTATAACAAACATTTGGTGAAACTTCTGACATCAAATAGGTACTATGCCAGGAAAGTACTAGGCCTATGTTAGGAACACATGACTGTCCCACAATGTGAATTATATACACGAATGAGGGGACAGCATGGTGGCCTAGCAAGCTGATGCTCTTCCTGCAGTGCCATCACCCCATACTGGCACTATTTCATGTCCTGGCTGCTCCACTTCTGATCCAGCTCCCTGCTTAGGGCCTGGGAAAGCAGTCAAGGACGGCCCCCGTCCTTTGGCCCTGCATCCATGTGAACACATGGGAGAAGCTCCTCACTCTTGGTTTCACATAGGCTTGGCTCCAACCATCGTGGCCAGGTGGGGAGATCACGTTCCTCTGACTCTCCTCTCTGTAAAACCTGCCTTTCAGATAAAAGTGCATCTTACAAATGAAGAGACACGAAGGAGATATAAGATAGCATAAGTCAGAGTAAGCACTGAGGTTTTGGCAACATTGAGAAATATTACTTACGTATATAGAGGGATGTATTTACTTCTAGAACTTGGACTCACACTTGGGAAGAAAGAAAATATGGGTAATTAGGCTATGGATCTTCAGTTAATAAACATCAAATTATTATATTATCTCTATAATTAAATAAAGTAATGCATAATTCTAGCATATCTGTAATTGAAGCAGCTGCAGAGATCCTGTAGGAAGTGGCCTCTAAAAGTTGGAGTAATTAGCATGCAGGTCTCACTTCGCAGAATGTGCTCTGGACCTGCACGAGCCGTAAGCCTTTGGGCTGGTCCTCTCACTGAGCAGCGTCCACGCCCTGCCCCATCCGTCGCACAGCCGCTGCATTCCCCTCCCCACTGCACACTGACCCGGCCGTGCTCACATGCTCACCCTGCTTGTCTGCAACCTTGAACGATGCACACAACTGCTGTAGACATTCACACAGAGGCTTGCGGGGGCTCAGGGGACGGCAATGGCAGAGAGCCGGGCCCCAGCTGAGCTCTGTCCTAGGGTCCTGGGCGTGGGAGGTCGCTGCTGACCCAGACTCCCAGCCTGTACCGGGCAGCTGAGGACAGCTGCTACCTGGAAACACTCACCATTCAGGTGAGCTCTTGACTCCTTCCTGCACACAGGGAAGTCACGCCAGTGCTAGGAGAGGTCTACAATTCAACAAAATCTTTGAGTAGGATTACAAACAATCTCAACTTGCTGTATGCATGAGGATTTCAAGGCTTTTTTGGATATTTCAGTTTCTTTTAAAAATTATTATCATTGAATTTATAAGCTGGATCTATATTGAGGTATTTTACACTTTTAGAGAAAACTACATTAATTAATCTTTATCAAAAATGTTAACCTAACAACCAATGACGGTGAAAACTCTATTGGTGAGAATCTTAGGAAAGAAAACTTACAAACTGACTGGTTTGAGGGGTGCCACGAACGATCTTGTTTGAAATCTGTCCCAGAGTCCACCAACCATCTAGAATCAACATCAGTGCAAACGTTAATATCCCGTGAACATGTTGCCACACACAAGTCCTCAGCTCGGACTTTGGTGCCTGTCACTGTTCCTTCACTCCAGCTGGGCCCAGGCTCAGCACCCGCTAAGCAGCCCAGCATCATGTGGTGGGCTGCACTTGGTCTTCAGACTCTCACTTTGTACTTGCTCTGTCACCGCTGGATCTGTCTCATTCCCCACCTTAGGCTGGGAGCCATGGGAATGGTCTGAGCTTAGTCTCGGCCCAGACCCGTTCTTGCGAGAAGCCCTCGGCCCACCTCTGCAGCCAGGCTGCTTCCCTGCCTGTCCCCTCTCCTCAGTGTTGGGCCTCCTTGTGTCTGGAAAGGACTTTGGATGCTAGCATAATCTAACTCCCAGGAATATCAAACGGAGACCAATTTTACACATGGATATACAAATATGTTGATGTAGCTTAAACATTGTTAAACATAATTAGAACCATTCAATTTTTCCTTTAATTAATTTTAAATTCTATATAAAAATTTCAGGCTTGAATTCAAAGTCATGTTTTCCTCCTCTGCTATTATTACTTCACCACAGAAGTTTAAAAGTTGACAAGATAACATGGACACACGACCCTGGCTCACGACTCCTAGGGAGCCCGTCTAGGAAGCTATCTCAATGCAGAGACTCAAACACTCCACTCTGACCGTAAACCCACGGGCTCAGGCAGGCTTGGCACAGGAGGATCGGGGTTGGTGAGTGCAAGGGCTTGGCAAGCACAGATGTCCAACACCACAGCTGAGACTGGAAAAATCATCAGGATTGAATCTGGTACAAGCAGTGAGCGCACAGGCGCACAGTCACAGGGACAGGATGCGGCAGAGAGCAGGGACCTAACGATCAGAGAGAAGCTCTGTGCTGGCCACTGGGCCACGGAACAGGGTAGCCGGGGTGCCAGCTGGTGTGTGTGCCGGCCACTGGGCCACGGAACGGGGTAGCCGGGGTGCCAGCTGGTGTGTGTGCCGGCCACTGGGCCACGGAACGGGGTAGCCGGGGTGCCAGCTGGTGTGTGCCGGCCACTGGGCCACGGAACGGGGTAGCCGGGGTGCCAGCTGGTGTGTGCCGGCCACTGGGCCACGGAACGGGGTAGCCGGGGTGCCAGCTGGTGTGTGTGCCGGCCACTGGGCCACGGAACGGGGTAGCTGGAGTGCCAGCTGGTGTGTGTGCCTGCCACTGGGCCATGGAACGGGGTAGCTTTGGAATACCGCCAGTTGAGACTGACCTGGGTTAGTGCTGGAGCGTTTCTGTATCTCCTGAGGGTGAAGCACTGTGAGATGGGGTCCGCAGCCTTTTCCACAGTTGTTTCTCTGGGGTCCAGTTTTGGTGGCAGCATCTTGTCCCAAGGAACAACTTCATAAGCTCTATGAAATCACAGAATAAAGATGTTTCATGGAAAGCATGTTTTCAGTCGGCCTGTGACTGACAGTATCAAAGTCCACAACAGAGAGAATTCTAAGATGATTCCACTGTGCCTTGCGGGAATGTTCAGTCTGGAGTTCATTACCTCCCAGGCACCCGTGGAAATCACAGAGTAGCACACCTGAATTCTCCTTTTTAGACAGCAAAATCAATCATGGTCTTGAACTAGCTGAATTTGAGTTCAACAAAAGAAGGACTACACCGAGTGGACCGCGCGCTCTGTGGCTTTCCTTCAGCTAACAGCTGCATGCACAAATGCTGCCCACAGCCTGCAGATGGCACCCTGATGCCAGGCTGGAGAGATGCTGAGCTGGAGCCCAGAGGGAGGGGCTCCGGAGAGACCCCAGGCTGGAGCTCAGAGGGAGGGGCCCCGGAGAGACCCCAGGCTTGGAGCCCAGAGGGAGGGACCCGAGAGACCCCAGGCTTGGAGCCCAGAGGGAGGGACCTGGAGAGACCCCGGGCTGGAGCCCAAAGGGAGGGTCTGGGCTGCTGACCCGCATAGGTGCAGGCTACTAACAGCTGCTGGGGTCTTTAGTGCCATGGTGGCTGCAGCTAATGTGCACACCTACACACACACCTGATGAGCTTCTGTTGACAGTCAGTGGAAAGAGCACTAATTGACAAAGAAGCTGTCACTAAGAAAGTTGTCTGCCTGCTTGACGTTACTCGACTCCTGTTATTTGCCTATGAAAATCAGAAGTGTGGCTGTGATTCAGTGTGAACACAGACAGGTCACACAAATTGTGAGCATGGCAGCAGGAACTCAGTCCTCCGACTGAATGCAGGGAAAAGTTACCTGCAGAGAGGAGAGAGAATTCTTATGTGCTCATTCACTTTCCAAATATCCACCACAACCAGGCTTGGGCCAAGCTGAAACCAGGTGCCAGAGTCCAGGCCGGCTCTCCCACTTGCCTGGCAAGAGCCTTAGTGCTTGAACCCTCACAGGAAGTGCGTCAGCAGGGAGTCGGAGGTAGAAGAGCTGGTCCAGGGCAACCTGAGTGCTGTGCAGGATAACTCACTGAATCTGTGATATATTTTATGAATATTTTGTGAAATTTTCCATAGTAGATATAAACATTTTTACCAAAGAAAATGTTTATGTTTTTAAAGAGATACTACCAGATTATGATTTAATAGTTTATTTTGTAAAAAATAAGTGACCATATTTGAATAAAATATCATGCCTTGAATAAAAGCATTCACTGTTTCTAAGATGATCACTGGAACATCAAGATCACAATACAATGGAAATGACCCCAAAGCTAGGACAGTATTACTCTGTGCCTTCGTGATCCTTCCTCTTCGGGTGAGGACTTCGAGGACCTGTCCTGCAGCACAGGTGCCACCTATGTGACTCGTGATGTCCACCCGAGAGCACACACGGACAGCACACACGACTGTTGTCACACACACAAGGAGCACACATGACTGTTGTCACACACTCCTGTAGGAGCCCTGAGGACACGGACAGCACACATGACTGTGTCATACACTCTAGGAACTTCTGACCCCACACCTGTCTGTGAATGAAGCTGCTGCCCTGAACCCACAGCACTGCTGATCCTGACCTGGTTTGCTCCTTCGTTGTCTCCTACACTTCTCATCTTCTAAGATGGACTTTGCTGATTTTCTGCTTGATCACTTTCTTAGGTTGGTTCTATTTATTTTCAAATTATGTTGCTGACTCCCCTTAGAATAATGACTCTTGCTTTATGCAATGATGTCTCTAACTCTGGGACAGATTCATGACTGGTAACAGTATACAGTCACATATTGCTTAACGTGGGTATGCTCGTGCAATGTGCAAACACCACAGAGTGCTTACACACACTCACCCGGCTATGACACCATGTGGGACAGGCCTACACTTCCTTACATAGTTGGTGGCTGCATTCGTGAACTGAGTCAACGGACTGCCCTCAACTCAGCTTTCTCCGTTACTATTCTGTATGTACTATCCTCTTCTTTCTGATCATTTCCTTTCTGCATTGGTCTTATTTTTCCATTACACGTATGCATTGTTCTTTTTTGTTGTTGTTAAGATGTTTTTACTTATTTATTTTGGAAAGGAAGAATTACAGAGGGAAGCTGAGGCAGGTTCAATTTCCAAATGGCCACAATGGCTACAGGTGGGTTCATCAGGAGCCAGGAGCCTTCTCTGGTCTCCCAGATGGCTGTGGGCAACCAAGCATCCAGGCATCCCTGTGTGCCCTTCCAGGTCATAAGCAGGGAGCTGAATCAGACGTGGAGCAGGCGAGATGAGAACCAGTGCCCATATGGGACACCAGCACAGGCTTAGCCTGCTGTGTCGCTGAGCCGGTCCCTGCACAGATGTTCATAATGTAAATATCTTTTAGGCATCCTTTAAATTACTCTGCCCAGACATTGTGGGCACGCAGGATTTTTATTTAGGACAAATGTATTACTTGGAACATCAGAATCACACCAAGAGAAATGCTTACTTTTGTGTCGAGGACTTGTAGAATGAGTCTTTTGCACTGTACTTCCTGTTAGGTTGAACAAGTGACTCAGCATCCTACAGGGCACAAGGAATGCATTAGAAGAGGTCAAGGGAAATGCAACTGCTACTGTTTACTATTTACCTTTTATTTTTGGTCTTCATTTTTGACTGCCCAGGCTTAATGCTTCCATGCTTTTCTATTTTAGAAATTTACAATCTGCTTATATTTCCATAATTTAAAATTCTAGAAAATGATCAAAATTAATAGGAAGTAATTTTTATAAGAAACTCAGATTTTAAACATGGGCAAATCCTTAGTTTTAGCACCACGTAACAAAAAGCAGAGATGTCAAATTCTAGCTGTCTCATCTAACAACACAAGCACCTCACTCTGAGACTTGCTCCTCCCAGCTCTCTTCTTTTCCAAATTACTTGTTTGTTTATCATTAAATACTAATTAATATCTTTTGTGGCTATTATTCGACTTTTCAAGATACTTTACCAGTCCTGTACCTACTTTTATTCCATCCCATTTTTCCCTCCTGTATTCTCTTGCTTGGATTTCCCTGAAGCTCAATGTTAGTAACTTGTTCAGAGATGTGGATCTTCACTTGGGCTAGTGTTTCATTCACCCTCATTTAAAATTTACTTTTAAAGCCATTTGAAAGAGAGGGAGGGAGGGAGGCAGAGAGAGATAGAGAGAGCGAGCGAGCACGAGCTTAATGCACCGTGTGCCATAATGTTGGACAAGTAAAAAGGAGGAGTTTAGGCAAGGGATAAAATCATAATGAGATACGTCTGAGCAGCAGCACGGCACACACAGCACGTGGCTGTGGCGGGGGGGACCAGTGCCGGCCCAGATACCTGCTAGGGATCCTAGCTCCCCACGCAGCACTGCTAGTTGGGGGAGGGTCCTGAGCTTGACCAGGCCCAGGTCTGAGAATTTCCTCCATCTACAGCACCCATTCTGGGGATGGATCTCGGACAGCTCGGGCATGCCCGGGACATGGCTCCACTCACTGCCATCATGTTGGTGGGCAGAGTCCAGGTAAGACTCAGCAGTGGCACAGCTTGGTGTCTGGGTCCTCTGGCCACAACCACGTGGCTGGGGGTACCTGTGCAAGCCCAGACTTCCTGCTAGGGATCCTAGCTCCCCATGCAGCACTGCTAGGCAGAGAGAGGGTCCTGGGCTTGTGGGCAGCCAGTGTACCAACTGGCTCCAGGCTCCACCTGCTAGCCGCCTGGTGGGGTCTTAGGGGTATGCAATTTACTGCCTAGGGACATCCATGGATAAAGCCACAGTACATGTAGGCGAGGAATGAATCCTGGGGGACATCCAATGCAGGGCCACTGTACCTGCAGGTAAGTGAGGGGACTGAGACCTGGTGGTTTGGAGGGGAGAGACCTGAAGAGATTTTTGGGTCAGACTGATGCATTAGCACACATTGAAGTCCAGGGTTGGGCTTGTTAGCATGGAACATGGCTGGCCACCATGTGCCGGCGTGCATGTAAGTTATGGCTAGGGGCTTGTCTGGCAGGGCTAGATCCCAGTACCTGACAGTGAATGTTGGATCAGCGGATGGGCCACATTAGACTGGGCCATGACACCAACCAGCACACAAGAGAACCTGGTCCAGGGGTGGATTCTGTGGGGGATATGTGGACCCTACCCTATGGAACTACAAGTACCACTGGTTAGCTTGAGAGTTGGGATGCTGATGGGCTGAATTAGGCATGACCATGGAACTCACCAATGCACTGGTACTGGGCTGGGAATAAGCAGACAGGTTCAGCTGCGGCACCCTCATGAGCACCCTAAAACAGGGTGTGGGGCAGGCCGGGCTGCACCAGCTCATACAAAGGCTGGAATGAATGATGCCGACTTTGTGCATCTGGGCACAGAAGCATGACAAAACACAAGACAACCTTAGTGAGGCATATCCAGAGGTCGCTGCCAGCTGACACTGTTGGTATCTGGGGGAGGGGCCTTGCCTGGTCTGCATGGCTGGGTCCGTAGCCTCTACACACTCACCTACCAAACAGCAGAACTGCTGAAAACTATGGCAAAATTCAATTTGACTGTAAACCAGACATTACAAACTATTTTCTGTTGGCATTGCATGTACTTTCCATTGCTTCAGCTCTAAAAGTCTTTGTGTCTCTGCATCCTGAGTGGTCTTCTTTCAGATGACATACTGCTGTGTGTTTCGCTTTGTTATTTATTGGTAGTTCTGCCTCCCAATTGGAAGTTCAGTATATTGACATTTACATAACCACGGATAATTCTCAGGATCTTGGGAAGACCCTATGCCTGTCACACAGTCCTGGAAGCACAGCTCCCGCAGCCAAAAGCTTTCCCGTGGGGTAGGGAGGTCCCGTGGTGCCCCTCAGCACCCAGAACCAGGCCCTGGCTACCACAATCCTTAGTGTAACTGACATCCAACTCTTCAGGGACTAATGGAAATCCACATTCATCTCACAGACACACATCCTAATCCACACACACTGCAGAGTAGCTCACAGTGTCACTTACAGACAAGGCTGTCATTAAGGAAACCAAAATCAATAAGGCTACACTTCTGGACTAACCTAGAACCTTTGACCTGCCCATTCGCTCCCCAGACAGCCACAGCAGCAGGCTACCAGGTGCTGCCGCTGGGCCTCCCACGTGCAGCCATTACTGCTGGGGTGCAGGCTTCCTCACAGTCCACTGAAAGGGGGTGCTGTGCACCAGCCACCCCAGCTTTTGATCCTCACCTTCACAGCACTGCCGAGAGTCCAAGTCAGACAGCCACGCACCTTTGGAGGATCAGAAAACTCATGCATGACCAATGTGTTCCAACAGTCTGGGCTTCAATTTCAGCCTTTCCATCCTCTGCTGGCCCACTAATTTATATTACACTCTCGATATTTTAAGGAAAAAAATATTAATCCAGTTGTTCTATTCATGTTACTTAGCTTCCACTCCTAGGAGTATACTATCAAGGCTTATTTCTGTCTTAGAAAGTCTAAACTTAGTTTAAATTTAAATAAATATGCTGGTAAGAACTGCTCATATGACAAGTATCTACTTCCTAGTATCAGAACATGGGACTTGGCATAAATTTGCAGTTTTCATTTTAAAAGGGCAGCCATGTCTTCAGCTTCCTCTGTTTTACTTGACAAGTGAGAATGTTGTCCTAACAAGACTCGCGTGCAGGAGCAGTGCTGCTTTGATAACAATCTGGAGACGGAAAAAGTCCAGTTGACAAGACAAACCTTTACTGCCCTTGCAATCACCTTTCTTTGAAAGTAACAACAAGGAAAGCCACAGAGGTGCCCCCTGGCCGCAGTGATGACAAGCACTTTAGCCGCCGTCCCCTGCTCTTTGTTCCAGAGTGCCAGCCATGACACACAGGAAGTGTCCCGCAGCCTTTTTCTGAAACGGAAGGCTGCATCACTGCATGCCGAGCACTGTGCCGAGCACGACAGTGCTGCAGATTACACACAGGAGACAGAGGACCAGAACCCGCTTCCTTTACGAGTATCATGTCCTCACTGATACCCAGTGTTTCTTTCCAGGATAATGAGAATATTCTGCAATTAATGTAGTCATGGCTGCAGAATTCTGTGAGTATGCTACAAACAGTGAATTGTACATTTCAAATAACTATGTTTATGCTTTGTAAAATTCATCTCAATAAACCTGCCTTAAAATCTTTCCAGGGCCTGACACAGTAGTCTAGCGACTTGAACACCCAGGATCCCATAGGGGCACTGGTTCTAATCCTGGTAGCCCCGCTTTCCATCCAGCTCCCTGCTTGTGGCCTGGAAAGCAGTCAAGGACAGCTCAAAGTCTTGGGATCCTGCACCCGTGTGGGAGACCTGGGAGAGGCTCCTGGCTCCTGGCTTCGTATCAGCACAGTTTTGGCTGCTGCCATTACTTGGGGGAGTGAATCATCAGATAAAACATTTTCCTCTCTGTTTTTCCTACTCTGTATATTTGACTTTGCAATAAAAATAAATCTTAAAAAATCTTTCCATATCTATGTATTCCTATTTATGTATCTGAATTTTAATATTAAGAGTTTAGGGATCATAAAATCCATGCAGAAAAATCATGTAAGAGCACAAGCCTTAACTTCAGAAAATATCTAGTTTTTAATTGTTAAAATTTACTGTCTATGTGATCTTATAGTGACTTTCTTAACATCATTTGGTATCACTTATTTTCAAGTAATATGGTAACGTCATGCTCGTAAGTAGAGCCTGAGATGGGAGTGCTGTTCAACAATATGCTGTGGGCACCCTCAGGGAAAAGGGCGTGAGGACAGGGAGAAGGAAGAGGCGCTAGGGCTGCAAGTTCCAGCTGGAGACCAGCTGCAGCACGCTTGCTGCTCCTTGGGCCAAGTCTGCAGCCAGTGCGGAGGACAGCAGTCCTCCAGGCTGGGGGCTTCTTTGGGCAGGAACACCTGTCAGTGAAGGGACCGGCATGGCAGTCACCAGCACCTGCAGCCCTCTTCCCTCCATGCAGGTGTAGCGACAAGTGCAAGACAGTGCCCTGGAGGAAGGGGCTGTGAGGTCTGCAGAGTGCCTGGCTCACGAGCAGCAGGTCACAAACAGCAACTATTTTCCAAGAAAACAGAACAGAACATACACTCAATACAATAACTTAATTATAACTTTGGCATGACACCGCCTGGTACGGAAATCTTACTGTGTTCTGTGCCTCTTCCTCAAATGCATATGAGTGGTTTATTGAGCAGCCTTCATGAATGGGTTGCAAAGGAGTAATTTTCACTGGACTTGTCCAACCTGAAAACAAAAAGTGTTCGTGCTCAGGGTTAAACACACAGCACTGAAACTGCTTCTTCCAGAAATATCTCTGGACAGGGATTTAATCTGTGTGCTGGTCATTTTTCCTTTATTACCTGGAAACTGTCCTGGATGTCTCAGCAGTGAGAAGAGGACGCTCTGGAAGTTACAGAAGTACAACTCTACTAGTGCAGAATTGCAGGCTATTATTGGTCTCTAGGAATCTGTTTACGCTCAGGTGGCCGTGCTGGAGGTGGTGATGGCACAAACATGGTCATGATGCAGATGGTTCATCCACTCACAGATGAGGAGGCCTAAATCACTCTCAAAAATAAGCTTTTGGGCCCGGCGCGGTGGCGCAAGTGGTTAAGGTCCTCGCCTTGCACGCCCGGGATCCCATATGGGCGCTGGTTCTATCCTGGCAGCCCTGCTTCCCTTCCAGCTCCCTGCCTGTGGCCTGGGAAAGCAGTCGAGGACTGCCCAAGGCTTTGGGACCCTGCACCCGCGTGGGAGACCCAGAAGAGGCTCCTGGCTTCGGATCGGCATAGCATCGGCCCGTTGCGCTCACTTGGGGAGTGAATCATCGGACGGAAGATCTTCCTCTCTGTCTCTCCTCTCTGTATATCCGCCTTTCCAATGAAAAAATAATAAAAATAAATCTTAAAAAAAAGCTTTTGTTTATAGAAAAGTATTTCTCTATGAATGGAGATATTTATCCATGATGGGTGTATAAGAAGAAGAAACGGGGTTCCTGGTTTTGAGGTACTGGGTACAGACACACTGGCAGCAACTGCAGGACTGGCTGAGCTGAGAGGGGAAGCCAGGATCGTCAGAGGGCTCTCTGATCTAACCGGACTGTCAGCAACTAGGGACATCTTCCTGAAGATGACACACGATCTCATCTTCAAAACTGAGTAGGGCTTGTATAAAAAAGAGGAAGCGAGGGAAGGCTGGTAATTCAAGGCAAGCAAACAGCATGTGTAATGGTAGGGCTTCTCTATGCGAACACACAGTGGAAACCAAAGCTGCGCATGACCAACTGTAGACCTGGGAACATGACCAGACTGGGAACATTGGAAGATGAACAGCGGGGTGCCAACAGGAAGGCCATGGAGCTCACTGCACACGGGCTGCTCTGGCAGAGTTTTAGTCAGTTACTTTGGAGAGGTGACAGGTGCAGGTAGAGATAACTGTAGCTTCCACAGATTCATTCTTGTACATCATGGGGCTTCTAATCTGCTTATGTACTTTGTAGTTTATTGTACAAACTAACAAAACTTGGCAAAATGTGAATCTGAAAGTTACAGTTAGAAGCGACACCACAGGCCCCTGTCCTTGGGGTACTTACTACTGCAGATCTACGAGACGAACAATCTACATGCAGCCTGCTTACAGGATTGAAATCGCACAGCAAATGGATACAAACTAATGTGCAAAAATTCTGGCATATAATTTACATGTTCAACAGGTTTATTATTAACGGGTTTGTGATAAACAGAAACTGTTGAACATATAAATTACATAATTATCATTTGTTAGCATTTACAGATTGATTTCTATGGTGCTGATTCTCTCTGTATGTCTATACAGCTATATGGAAGGGCAGCCCTCTGTAAAGGGGAGGCCAGCAGAGAGGTAATGAATTCATGTATTTCCATTCGCTACATCACTCCACAAATGCCATCGAAAGCATTTGGGAACTCCACGAGGTTTCTCACTCAAGTGGGTAGCAGCAAAGCATGCATCTGGGCCATCCCCTGAGGCCTCCAAGGGCATCTCCTGTCAGGAAGCTGGACAGGAAGCACACAGTAGCCAGGACCTGAATCATGCACTGTACCACTGATGAGAGTGTCCTAACACCACAATGCCTCATCAGTTCAGGACAGACCAGCAAAGACTGGATGCTCGGTGGTCTGTGCGAGTGGGAGGGGCAGCTTTAAAGACTAGAGTCTCCGCAGGCCTAAACACGCAGACAGGACAGAGGAGACCAGGTGAGCAGGGCATTGTTTTCAGCAGCAAAGTCTCCTGAGTAACAGTGAACAAGGAAACAGCCATGACATGTGAAGGTCTGCATGAGACTTGAACTGGATTTTCCCCCATATCCTTTCCACGAGGGCTGACACGATGCCATAATTTCAGCAGTTAGATGCTAAACAGAAAACACAGCTGAGCCTCTTGACTTCTGATTGTGTGGCAATTTGACATAGAACCAAGGCCACCTCCATCTCCCACCATCACCACCACCCCAGGCAGCTGGACTGCCACTCTACCTCCCCAGCCACCACCACCAGGCAACTGGATGGCCACCTCCATCTCCCAACACCACCACCACTCCAGGTAACTGGACAGCCACCTCCATCTCCAACCACCACTACCACCCTAGGTAACTGGACAGCCACCTCCATCTCCCATCACCACTACTACCCCAGGTAACTGGACGGCCATCTCCATCTCCCACCACCACCACTACCCCAAGTAACTGGACGGCCACCTCCACCTCCCAACACCACCACCACTCCAGGTAACTGGACAGCCACCTCCATCTCCCACTACCACTACTACCCCAGGTAACTGGACGGCCACCTCCATCTCCCACCACCACCACCACCACCCCAGGCAGCTGGACGGCCACCTCCATCTCCCACCACCCCAGGAACTGGATGGCCACCTCCATCTTCCACCACCACTCCAGGTAACTGGACGGCCATCTCCATCTCCCACCACCCCAGGCAGCTGGACGGCCACCTCCATCTCCCACAACCCCAGGCAGCTGGACGGCCACCTCCATCTCCCACCACCCCAGGCAGCTGGACGGCCACCTCCATCTCCCACCACCACCACCCCAGGCAGCTGGACGGCCACCTCCATCTCCCACAACCCCAGGCAGCTGGACGGCCACCTCCATCTCCCACCACCACCACCCCAGGCAGCTGGACGGCCACCTCCATCTCCCACCACCACCACCCCAGGCAGCTGGACGGCCACCTCCATCTCCCACCACCACCACCCCAGGCAGCTGGACGGCCACCTCCATCTCCCACCACCACCACCCCAGGAACTGGATGGCCACCTCCATCTCCCACCACCACTCCAGGTAACTGGACGGCCACCTCCATCTCCCACCACCACCACCCCAGGCAGCTGGACGGCCACCTCCATCTCCCACCACCACCACCCCAGGCAGCTGGACGGCCACCTCCATCTCCCACCACCACCACCCCAGGCAGCTGGACGGCCACCTCCATCTCCCACCACCACCACCCCAGGCAGCTGGACGGCCACCTCCATCTCCCACCACCACCACCCCAGGCAGCTGGACGGCCACCTCCATCTCCCACCACCACCACCCCAGGCAGCTGGACGGCCACCTCCATCTCCCACCACCACCACCCCAGGCAGCTGGACGGCCACCTCCATCTCCCACCACCACCACCCCAGGCAGCTGGACGGCCACCTCCATCTCCCACCACCACCACCCCAGGAACTGGATGGCCACCTCCATCTCCCACCACCACTCCAGGTAACTGGACGGCCACCTCCATCTCCCACCACCACCACCCCAGGCAGCTGGACGGCCACCTCCATCTCCCACCACCACCACCCCAGGAACTGGATGGCCACCTCCATCTCCCACCACCACTCCAGGTAACTGGACGGCCACCTCCATCTCCCACCACCACCACCCCAGGCAGCTGGACGGCCACCTCCATCTCCCACCACCACCACCCCAGGCAGCTGGACGGCCACCTCCATCTCCCACCACCACCACCCCAGGCAGCTGGACGGCCAGCTGTGAATGGCTGTTCTGCCCTTGGCCTGTGCCACTTGAGAACACAAAGAGGAGGCAGCCTTCCTCAGGGCGAGGAAAAAGTTCTTCACTACAAATCAGTCTGAGGATCCTGTAATCTTTGGTTTCCCAATCTTTAAAATTGTGAGGGAAAAAATACCTGTTCTTCTGCCACTCATTTTTTTTTTTTCTAAACAGCATGAACTGAACAATGGTTTAAAAGCAGCAAGGCATTCGGAGTTCCAACACTGACAAGAGGAGGCAAAGGGAGGAAATCAGGGGAAATGATCATGGACAACCTTTGTTTTTTTTCTCTGACAAGGAGATTATTTCTGGGATATGCAAAACTACTGAAAGCCCAGCATAACTCATGCTGAATTCAACTCCTAAACTGCAGACATCAGCCTAAGAAATTTATATTAGAATGGCTAATTAGTTGAATGCTTTTACTGTGTTCCAAACATTCTGCTAAGCACTTTGCATCTCTTATTTAATTCTCAAAATAGTGTAAGAGAATTACCATTAGTCCCGATTTAGGTATAAAGGAATGAGAATTCTGGAGTTTTATACAAGCTGAACATCTACTGGTTCTTTTCTTATGTCTTTTATTTTTACTTGAATTACATGAAATGGTCCTTACCATTATAAATAACTACTGGTATGTAAATTTTATAAATAAGCATACACAGTCATAGAAAGGACAGTGTTTCACACTGGGTCATAGAACAAGTTTTTGCTAAGATTCGAACCCAGGAAGTCGCACTCTGGAGTCGTGAGTTCTGAGTTCCTCTGTTGTATGTGTTCAAGAAGTGAAATACATTGGGTAATCAGTTCTGTGTTGGGCTATGAACTGTTGGTGCAAAGTTCATTAATTTAGTTTTATGCTAGCTTTACTAAAACATTTATACAATCTAAAATTCATTTGAATAGTGTTTTAAGAGGTCATTCTTAGAATGATTTACATAAAGCATATAAAGCAAATGACATGCTTGCCTAAAATTACAAAAAAAAAAAAAATTCCATTTCTTTGAGGAAGGATTGTTGACTAGCAATTGTATTTTACTTTGATCAAGTTTGGGGTTTGTTTCTTAATGAACTAGATAAACAGAAGTTCAGAATTGGTGAAATGCCACCTGTGGGTGGAGCTGAGCTTTTCACAGCTCCCTCAGTGCCAAGACTTAAACATGTACACACCTAAATGTATAGCTAATGGTCAAAAGTAGGTACAAATATATTTGATTCTCAGTAACACGATTTCCCAAGATATAATTTCCAACGAGTTATAAAATAATTCAAGACATCTCTCCTGCCTCCAGGCTGTAGACCTGTTTATGCAGGGGCTGTTTCTTGTAACATAGAAAATTCATTTTTACATATCTTCCCGTTTCATTTCAGACACTATAACCCATATATTGGGTTAGACTCTGTGGCACGGCACGTCAAGCTCCTGCTTGGGGTGCCACAGCCTGCGTCACTGAGTGCCAAGTTCAATCCTGGCTTCTCCGCCTCCCGCCCAGGTTCCTGCCAACGTGCTCTGGGCAGCTGACAATGGACCATGTGGGAACCAAGACCGCTCCGGGGCCCTGCCTGTCCTGACCGTCTCAGCTACTGCAGCACTTGGGAGATTGAACCAGCGCCATGCAAGATCTCACTTTTCCCCTCCCTCTGTCCAAAACTCTGCCTTTCAAATAAAGATAACCAAATAAATCATAAAACAACGTGTTAACAATCATCAGGTTATTTTGACAGAGAAAAGAGACATATTACGCAATTATCAAAGTGATACATTCCTTTTGGCTAAAAGTTATCTTTAAATTCAGAATAAATTGCTGTTACTCAGACTAATGCATGGAAAGAAATCCTAAAGCATGTTTACAAATAGGTTTATCATTTCTACTTTTTTCTAAGAAACTGCAATTTCAAAATAACACCTTATTTAATTATTATTTTATGAGAATAAACCATGACAATCCTGGCTGTTCCACCTGTGTGCCTTTCCTTCTTTGGAACACAGAACCTCTGACACCACCCCATTTACCTCCGAGTCGGGCCCTGATGGAGCTGTCTGGGACTCCTCTGGAATTCCACCTCGTGTCCTGTTGCAGTTCTTCGGAGAGAACTGTGCGCCTTTTCATGGTTGTTTGAAATCCCGTGTCTGGTCTGGGAACTCGATGCTGAGGCTTCACATCACTGACACCAACCAGGTTAGGAATGGTTCTGCCAGTGCCAGGCTTCAGATCAGCATCGCCACCAGGACTCATGAGCATGGAGCAGCAGTCCCCTGGGGGCACATCATCTCGCAGAGGAAACAACGGGTAAGCTGGTCCATACGGCGGAGGGTAGGGGTGGTGCAGGTGGTAGTCCGGCAGGACCGACGGAGGGTAAGGATGAAATTTAAGAAAGGCAGGGCTGCATTTATTCTCAAATCGGACATAGTTATGTCTGTCCTCCACTCCTTTCACAAAAGGCATGTTGATTTTTCTTAAGAGATTACAGTAGTGTGGATAATCTGTATCGTTCAGGGCCTTCGTTCCGGAAAGGATGAATCTTTCCGAAACACTTATCTTTCCGGGACCGTCCTGCTGCCCCATAGCATGCATGACCTTTGTTGCTACTTTTCTGCTGAATTAAATTATTTCTGATGAGTATTTCAACTATATAAACTCCTATATTTTCAACAGGGTTAATCAAGCATGAATTTGATCCAGCCTTCTAATGTATATAATTTTCTTAAGTTAATTTTTTTTCTACCTAAAGAGAGGGCAGTAAAGGAAGAGCAGGAATAGACACACCCAGCAGTGTCCTCGTTGCTTGGCAGCACACGGAACTCTCAACACACTGAACTATTTATTGTGTAAGTCGTAATGTCATTCTTAGAATCTCAAGATGCTCTTAGAATGATTTCCACAACATTTTGATCCCCAGTGGTCAAGACGGCTGTGCTCATTTATTTCAGTTTTCTGTAACTTGCTGTTTCAGTGTGTTAAATGACAAAGGATTATAAAGCAGCCACTCCAGCGACAATAACCATACACATTACAAAATATATTAAAAAATGCCTGTCACTAGGTATTTGCTTGCCAGACAAAACCATTAACACTATCTAAATAAACGTAAACTCACACACTGTAAAAGGTAAACATGTCTTAAAGCTACAAAGTATATCTAATTTTTAGGGAAAAAGTCACAAATAGGTCATCCTTTTCAAGCTCTAATTGCCTTGATTTCCCCGTATGCCATCATGATGGCCAAAGTGAGAGCACTCAGGACTTGAAGCTCATCTCAGGAAACTTCACAAGAGTCCTGGTTATTTACCTAATGGCAAAACAGTTTTCTTTAAATCATCAAGGATTAGTTACTGATATGCAAAATAAGTTTCACTTAAATTGTTAATACATCAGTTTTCTTAAAAGTTGCATTCTAATTTGGCCCTACAAGGGCACATCCAACTTTAGGTCTGGGATGGAAGCCAGAGCAACCCTCTGCAGCAAAATACAAGCAAGATGTCCGCTTGGGAGATGCAAGCGCAAAGCTAAAGCCGCCAACAGCGACAGGGCAAAGGGTTGCGGCATCTGCGGGGAACAGGAACAGCTATGTTGCACGGAAAAGCCTCAGCAGCTGCCGCCCACCTCTAACCAAGCGGGGCTGTTGGAGTAGGGCTGAGATTCCGCATCCCAAGTGGAGACCATCCAGCGGCCACCCTGCCTGCCTCAGCATCACCATTTCTCCAGGATGAGAGGTGGCAAGGCCCTTGCCAGGCATTCTGACTCATCAGCGTCATGTCTGCACGCAGCTGACTTCCCCCAACAGCAAGCACGTGCTTTCAGGGTAAAGTCCATTGGACACGCACGCGTCTCTGCCCAGGAACTGCACGTGTCTGTGCAGCACTGGCAATGCCCACGGCGTCCACGTGTCCCTCAGCACTGGTGATGCCCACGGCGTCCACGCGTCCCTCAGCACTGGCGATGCCCACTGTGTCCATGCGTCCGCCAGCATTGGCGATGCCCACAGCGGCCACGCGTCCCTCAGCGCTGGTGATGCCCACTGTGTCCATGCGTCCCTCAGCCTTGGCGAAGCCGGCGCTGCCTCGTGCTTCCTCGCCCCCAGTGGGCACCGGGGGGCCCACCCAGCAGTGGGGTCGCGCCCCTCAAGGCTGACGGCCCAAACAGGCGGTTCGACGTTCCTAGCCAGCGCCAGAACCTTGGAGCAGCCCATATTCTCGAGGATTTCTCCTGGAGGCCGGTCCCGAAGACCCAGGCTTCCCCCAACCCTGCCGCCTCACCGACCCAGCCGCCGCCGACCCCACCAACCGCCCTGGCGGAAGTGGCGGCGCGTCCCTCAGGTGTGTCGCCTGCCCACTTCCGGCGGGCGCGCGGCGCCTAACGACCGTCTCCGTGGGCGGCGTCGGCGAGTGAATGGCGGCCTCGGCCGGCGGCCGGGCGCGGCGGGGCGGGCGCTGGCTCTCCCGGGGCGCCGCCCTCCTGCTGCTGCCCGCCCTGCTGGCGCTCTCACCCCCGTCAGGTGAGGTCTCCGTCGGGGCAAGTGAGGGCCCGGCCAGGGGAGGCCCCGGCCTGTGGGGCCCCGCCAGGTGAGGTGGCGGCTCAGGTGAGCGCCGCCAGGTGAGGGGGCCCCGTCCCGTCGCGGCACGCGGCCCCGGTGTGTGCCCCTCGTGGGCGCGGGTGTGCAGCACGGGGCGCTGGCATCTTGCACCTGCTCTTCCCGTACTGACTTCCAGCTTGCAGAAGGAACGAAGCGGTGGGGAGTGCAGGGAGTCGGGGAGAAGCAGCGTTGTGTTGTGTTCCAGGCTCTCTTAACTTTAGGAAAGTCTTTCCAGGAGGATTGTTTAAAAGGAGCATGAAAAGCTCAGATTCGGAAACAGCCAGGGGCTTTGGAGTGCCCTGTCTGAAAGAGCTGGTTGTTGACAATGACTTTTTTACAGAAGTCACAGTGTGTTTGGGAAGGATGAGGGCCAGAGGGCCAGGGATACAGATTTTTCCATGCACCGCATCCTTTCCTAAATGCCCACAAAAGCCAGGGCTGGCCCGGGCAGAAGGCAGGAGCTTGGCCCTTCGTCAAGGCCCACTGCCCGGTGGCTAGGCCACCTGCTGCCTCCAGGGTGTTCTGAGTGGGAGCTGGATCAGAAGCAGGTAGGGACCCCCACCCAGGAACCCTGATGGGGGCTGGAGGCCGTGCAGGCAGCAGCTGAGCAGTGCCCCCCAAGAACCATCCAGGGTTCGTGATCTGGTGCTAGGTAGAAAAGTGTCCGAGTTAAAACTTGCCTTTCTGTGGTTCGGGGATGATGCTAGGGGCATGACGGCACAGGCGGTTGGTGTCTTCCTCTGTTAGCCATGAAACAGTTTCCCTGTGAGGCTCATCGTGTCAGTCATTCAGCAGCAGCACACAATTATTAAGATTTTACTGTGTGTGTAGGGATCATGTTTGGTATCAGTTCCCCATAAATGGATGTTGACACTGGTTCCAGTGGTAGTGGACCTTACAATCTGATTTGGAAACCAAGAGCTGTGTGCGAAGAACCGTAATGCAGCAGCACATGAATGCTGTGAGAGTGGCCCGGATGACCGTGGCATTAAGAAATCAGGACAAACAGGCTTTGGGAGAAAAAAGGGTCTGTGATTTGGGCTACAAAGCCTGGGAGAGTTTTAAATTCTGAGGATGTTCTAGGTGGACCTAGAAATAGGCAAACGTGAGGTCTGTTAGATCCAGACAGTGGACGACTTTCCTCAGACCTACGAAGGGAGGAGAGTTAGCGGAGCAGTGAGGCCAGTGCCCCAGGGGACTTGCGCAACCCCCCTCAAGACCAGGCGGTCATACTATGCTATTCGGATTTGTTTTTGGAGTTTGTAATCAGGCATATGGTTAACTATTTTTTTTCTTTTGATTTCTAATAGTTGAACATTTGCTTCGAGTACCAAGAGGTTTCCGCTTGACTCAAGATGCAGTGAAAATAGTGGGCTCGACGAACTTCCCAGGTATTTAAACACAGACTCTCAACGCTTGTAGGACTGTTTTTAGCCTTGGTGAAAGTTTTATCCTTCTTGTCCAAAAGGCTCAAGCTTCCCCGGATGTGAATTTGTATACACTCAGAGTTATTTTTATCCGTATCTAATTATGTGTGCTGTAACTGCAAAGAATGTTTCTAAAAGTTATCTAAAGTTTCATGTACAGCTTTTGCTTGTTTTTGATGTTATAAAGATAGTGATTTTGTCAGATTTTTTAGTAGTCATGTGAAGTGTGGAAGTGACAACTCTATTTTGTGTTTCTAAAAGTTGAGACAAATTCACTTCCCATAAAATTCTATCTTTAATGTGTATGATTCAGTTGTTTCAGTTTAATGCCAAGTAGGGACAGCTGCTCGCACAGGCAGCAGTTGCACTTCCTGTTACTGGCTGTGCCCACCCCTGAGTGCTCCAGCATCACACAGGTGTCTGTGTAAGCACCTGTCCTGCATGTGTCTTTGGGTCTGGATTTGTCCCGAGTGTGATGTCCCTGAGGTTCATGCCGTTAGAGAGCGTGTGGGTGCTCCACGGCCTGTGTGGTTGCCAATGACCAGAACATTCACTGCCCTTGTGATTGCTGTTGCTGGTATTGTCATCCTACTGCGTCTTCAGTGGTACCTCATTGTGGCTTTGGTTTGTGTTTCCGTAAAGACTGATGTTTATATCTCTTTTCATGTTTGTTAGTTTTTGGCCATGTAAGTATCATTTTTATAGAAATCCTTAGACTCTTTTGCCCTCGGTAAGATCTGCCTGTTTGTCTTTTTGTTATTCAGTTGTGGACATGTTTTAGTCTTTTTGGCACTGGACATCTTTGAGGTCTATGGTTTTGCAATGTTTTCTCCCATTTTGTGGATTCTGTTATTACTTTAACATGTGAAGCATGAGTTTTAAACTCTGCTAGACAATAGCTTCCATTTTTTCTCATGAGCCAGCATTAGGGAAGGCGTTGATTCGGTTACAAGTGGTTCAACATGCTGGTTTTTTTAGCTGTGTGAGTTTACTTATGAACTCAGCTCTGTTCCACTGAGGTGTCTCTGTGCTAACATCCTGCTGTTCAGCTTATTGTTCTTGTGTAAAATTTGAATTTTTAAATGTGAATCCTTCAAACTTGTTCTTTTCACATTTGTTTTTGCAATTCTTGGTCCCAGGAATTTTGTATTCATTTTTGTAGAATCAGCTCATTAAATTTACCAGAAAAACCTGCTAAGATTTCAATAGGAATTGCCTTTAATGATGAGGACAATTTGTGGTAACGTATGAAGTTCTGTAATCTGTGGACATTCAATGTGTTTTTGTTTGTTTAGTTTTTCTTTAATTTATCTCATTGTTTTGCAAATCCTACATTTCTTTTGTGAGTTTTATTTCTAGATATTTTAATATTTTGATGATATTATAAATGACAGGATTTAATTTATTTAATTTCTGTGTTTTTAATTTCCAGTATGTAGCAACACATGATATTTTTGTATCAATGCATGCTGTCATCTTACTGAACCAATTTGTGACCTTTATTTCTTTGAGAATTCCTTGTATTTTCTATGTATTAAGGAATACAATTATAAATTATGTGCAAGTTTACATGAAATTCACAAGTAAAGTTTCATCTGTTCCTTTTTACTCTTACTGCCTCATGTATTTCTTTATCATTTTAGCCATGATCTTCTCTGATTATATTTAAATGACTAACTTTTAAGTCTTTGTCCAGTAAGTCCGATATTTGATCTGCAGTTTCATTTGCTGTTTTGTTCCTTGCATGTTTCATGTGTTAGTGTTCTAAACAATGTGACCTCAGAATTCTCTTGCCTCTTCCCAGGGTAATTTTTTTTTCCTGAGAGTGTTTGCTTGTTTAGTGCCTTTTCTTAATTAAGTGTATACATTTTTTTCATTCTTGATCATGTACAACCGCCCAATCTTTGCTCCAATAGTCAGGCTGATTATTGAACAGACTCGCATTAAAAACTTGGAGTTTTAGGCTGGCTGACTGCGCATTGTGAAGTTTTCTAGTCTTTAGGCAGGCTGCTCACTGCGCTACTGAAGAACTTGGTCTTTCTAAGCCTGTGCTCGGCCTGCAGTACAGCTCCAGGCATGCCCTGGCTTTCTCCTTCACTCGGAATAATCAGAATACTGCACAGTTCCTCTGGCTACTACTCATCGGCTTTCTTCTTTTCTTCCCCTTAAATGAACTTTTTAGTTAGCCAGTTGTCCTCCCTGCCTTTACCTATGATATGTGCTGGTGAAAGATCAAGAAAAGATAGCATAGCAAGTGGGGTCATCTGAGAAATTGCTGCCAGGCCATACGGTGACAGGCCTGTATGCAGGAGGCTTTAGGCTTCCTGTATCTTCTCTGCTTCCTGCGGTGTCTGACAGCATATTGCTCTCATTGGCTTTCAAGGCTGTCACAGGTCACAGTGCAAGAGAAAATGCTACACACTTGCTCTTCTTGCCAAATTTTTAACTTACTGTGGCTGCCGTGACAACAGCTCACAGGCCAAAGCAAAATGCCCCACAGATGTGGAGGTCTGAAGTCTAGAAGTGAGGTGCTTTTAGTGTGGTTCTTTCCTGGAGGCAGTGTGGGAGGGGGCTGTCCCAGGGCTCCATCTGGGCTTGTGGGAGGGGTCTGTCCCAGGGCTCCATTCTGTGCTTAAGGGACCATCTTCCACTCTTTATGTTTTCATATCATCCTCCTGAGGCGAATGTTGCATGCAAACTCTCCCCATTTTATGTCATTCGGCTGGATTTGGACCCAGTCTGATTACTTAATTTTATTTTGATTTGCATTGTAAAGACTTCAAGTAAGTGCACATTCTGGTGTACTGAGGTTAGCAATCCAACATGTGAATTTTTGGACAGGTGTATATAATCAATCTGTAGTATTGAGGTTCAAGTTTTTGCATGAATGTTTTCTAGATTGCGGAAAATATGTATTTTTTTTGTTGTTATTGGGGGAGTTCTGAAAGATGGTTGTCATGACAACTTCTGCCTTTTCTCTTTAGTTTTACAAAAGATAATTTTTGAATTTCCTTGCTCTGCCATTTTTATTTACTTTTATTATCACTTTTAAAAAGATGTGAAGATATAATGTGGTATGCATCTCTACTTCCCAATCAAAGATGGACTCCTAATGAAAGTGTTGGATATATCTCGACAATAGGATGCTGGGCGTTCCGCCATTGTCTGTGCCAGCAATATCAGGACACACTCACATAACAGAATAATGGACTTAGGATTGCTTATGAAGGAATATAGGAATATACTATTGTAATAAAATGGGGAAAATCAGTTGAGAGGAGAGAATTTGGGGAGTGATACAGAAATCCCAGACCCTATGGAATTGTACCATAAAATTCAAAATAAAAAAAAGGAAAAAAGAATAAAATCTGAATTATAAAATAATTATCTATTAATATTTTCTTGGATAATATTAGCTAAATTTATTCTAATAATGGATCAATATTTAAATTCAGTAGATAGTACTACAATTACAAGTGAAATATTATGTGCTAATTTACTAGCTGTGGCATTATAATATGATCAATATCTGATATTTTCTGCCTGGAATTTTTTCAGCCTTTTTTAGGTCAGTTCTAGCTTTATTTTTTTTTTAATGATGCAGTTTTGTAGGTTTGTTTATTTGAAGGGCAGAGTTATGGGTGGATGGGGAAAGAAGTAAGACATAGAGAGTTAGAGTGTGTGTGTGTGTGTGTGTGTGTGTGGAGAAAGAGAGAGAGAGGGAGAGAGAGGGAGAGAGAGAGAGAGAGAGAGAAATCTTCCCTCCTTCTATCCATTGTTTTATTCCCCAAATGGCTGTAACAGCCAGGGCTGGACAGGCTGAAGCCAGGAGCTGGCGGCATTTCCAGGTCTCCTCTGACAGTCCAGGGAACCAAGCAGATGGACCATCTTGTGACGCTCTTCCAGGCGTGTTAGCAGGGAGCTAGAGTATAGCAGCCGGGTCAGGATCTGGTGTCCAATGGGACACTAGAGTCTCAGGCAGTGACTTTACCCTACTACCATATTGCTATGTTTTACTTTGTGTAATTTTTTAATACTAATACCTCTATTGTAAACATAGTCGTTTTTGCTTCTTACGAATCTTTCATCTTGCCCAGTACATTTAGAATCAGTATTCCAGTGTTTTTGTGACAAAGTGATAAAGTTTATTTAATGGATGAGAAACACACACACACTTCGGGAAGGGAAAGGGGAAAAGAGCTCCGTGTTTAGTTGTCCTCTGCACAGAGCCAGACCCTCCCAGTCGGAGGAGGGGTAGGTCCTGGGAAAGGGCATTTGACAGCAAGGGAGGTAGGATTGCCTATGCAGGTGAGGTGTGGCTTCAAGCTTATGTCCCTAATGTGGCTTTCTGCTCTATCCCAAATCATCCCTCCTCTGTTTCCCTGGCTTTATTCCTAAGGGAGTTTGGTGGGATCGAGTTGCATCTTCTATGTCTACTTTCATCTGGTTGTGGGCATGGTCTCTGTCTATTTTATGTTTGCAAATCTCTTCCTTTTTCATCTGATGGGTCTGTCCCAGAAACTGGAACGTTTTCATGAGTCACCAACAATGTTGTGGACCCCTCACAGTCATTAGTACTTGGAGAAGTTGTGGAGTTCTGAAACAGACAAGTTTAGCATTCTGTATCAGCGAAATTAAAAAAAAAATGCAAGTGGGCTTCTGTTTAAGAAAAGAAGAACTACTGTTTCCCAGACAGTGGGTGTTGATAAAGATGGATGGAGGTCCTCGGAGACTGACCGTAAGGGTTACTAATGCCTTTTTCAGTGAATACACTACCGCTAAAGTCACAGTGACAGATACCATTGCTTAGAGCGCTTGCCCCTCCTGCTCTGTCAGTGTATATTCTGAGGCTTGGTAATTGTCCATGACTGCTGCAGACAGAGACTTAAGTGTAGACACAGCCTGAAGTGCTTGCTGTACCAGGTTGTGGCTGGAAGCTGCATAGGAGTCAGTGGGATCCAGACCAAGACTTGGGTGCTGTGTCGTCGGAGAAGACAAAGCACAAAGAATGAATCTTGCTGAGTTTCTGAAATGGGAAGGCACACAGGGATGGTACCATGAATCCTTCATGTAATTTGGAAGCCAAAAATGGACTCCCAGTGGAAGTGTTAGATATATCTAGACAATGGATGATGGACTGTGTGACATTGTCTGTACCAGCAATGTCGGGGAACACTTACATAGCAGACTGATGGAATTGCAACTCCTTATGAAGAGTTGTGACATTATGAGAAAAAATCTATCGGGGGGTGGTTTAGGGGAGGGGAAATCCCAGACTATATGGAATTATACAATAAATTTCAAAGATAATAAAAAGAAAGAAAAGGTGTAGCAGATATATGTATAAGGCTAGAGGAGGAGGGCCAATAAGCCATGCCAAGGAGGTGAGCATTTGGTAAAGAAGCTGCAAAAAAGAAGGGGAATTTAAGTAGCATAGAAATAGAAACAAAAAAGCAGAAATTAATTACAGGTGATAAAAGAATAATAGGTCATCTGGAATAACGACTGTTTTAAGAGCAGTCAATAGAGTCATGAGGCTAATTTGTTGTTATAAGCCTAAATTGAATAAATGATGGGTTAACTATGTAAACCAGACTTCCTTAAATGTGACTGCTGATGAGTCTGATTTGCTTCATGGATTGTTCAACAATTCTTTTCTTACTCTGTTGCCAAAAGCAAAATGAAGAAACAATTAAAAGGCTATACAACATTCCAAGAAGGAAGTCTGTGCATTTTTCCAAAGCAAATATATAAAAGAAAACCTTCCACTGATTGCATGTGGCATTGTAAATCAAATGTCTACCCTAACACTAAACAGTAAATAATAATGAATATGAAACAAGTGATAAATGTGTGAGGGTGAAATGAAAGAGGAGAACAGGAAGAAGCTTATATGTACTTATTAACAGTGTTAGAAGGATCTTAAGGAAATGCTTAAAAAACTCAATAATTTAAATTTTAAATTCATTATAAATATCTATTATATTATTTATATAATATGAAGTTATTATTTATATAATATATGATATGAATACAAATAATACAAATATTACACTATTAAAATTCAATAATATTTAAATTTAAAAAGCATTAGCTTTACCCCAGGAAGATAGTCTGTTGAGATCAGATATTCCGGAAGAGGAGCAGCTGTTTTGCTCAGCACTTGGGACCCCGTTTGGTGCTCCTTCATCTCACGTTGGAGGGCTTTCAGTCCTGGCTCTGCTGCTGAGTGCAGCTCCTTGCTAGTGTGCACTGAGAAGCAGCAGGTGGTGTGTCCAAGGGCTGGATTCATGCCACCTTCATTTGAGCTCCTGGGTCCCAGCCCTGACTGGGGAGCCTTGGCCACTGCAGGTGTTGGAGAAGGAGGTGGCTGATGGGTGCTCCCTTTCTGTCTGGCTTGTATCTCTCTGTCTCTCCAATAAGCAGATAGTACACTCTATATGATAGAAACACAGATGTCATCTTAATCACTATGCAAAAAATGTTAGGTTCAGTTTCAATTTAGGATGAAAACAAACAACTCAGAAGGGAGAGTTTTCAAGCTTGTGACAAAAATGTTTTCAGGAACACACCCGGTAAACAACATGCTTTATATTGAAACTTTAGATGCAGTCTTTTTAAGGTTTTGGAAAATTTTGATTTCCTAACAACTTTTTACAATATTGCCTAAACTGTAAGAGAGAACTTGACAGGCACAAAGGAGAAAAGAAGCGGGGAAGCAGTGGCACCTGATTTGATTAGCTTGTGCTGTGTGTTAAAATTTTACACTACATCCAAAAAATTTGTGTTCTCTGTCTTCAAAAATTTAAAAATAAAATGATTAAGAATAACTTTTTTGGGCCCGGCGTGGTGGTGCAAGTGGTTAAGGTCCTCGCCTAGCACGCCCGGGATCCCATATGGGCGCCGGTTCTAATCCCGGCAGCCCCGCTTCCCTTCCAGCTCCCTGCCTGTGGCCCGGGAAAGCAGCAGAGGACGGCCCAAAGCTTTGGGACCCTGCACCCGCGTGGGAGACCCGGAAGAGGCTCCTGGCTTCGGATCGGCATAGTATCGGCCCATTGCGCTCACTTGGGGAGTGAATCATCGGACGGAAGATCTTCCTCTCTGTCTCTCCTCTCTGTATATCCGCCTTTCCAATAAAAAAAAACATAATAAAAAAAATAAATCTTTAAGAATAACTTTTTTTTTCTTGCCACATGACAAGTTTTGCGTGTAGTAAACCGTTCTACTTTGTGAACCATTTCTAAGTGTGAACTTGAGTGAGTTCCAGGCAATCAGAGCTTTATGTATGACTTTTGTCACCTGTAAAGAACAGTATTTTTGGAAAATTAACAGGACTCTTTAAAAGTTAAACTAAATGAAAACAAAATTCTTTAGTATTTACAACCAAAGTGCATGATTGTGGACTCTGTATTCATGTAATTTTTTTAATTAAGTTATACTATATTGTGAGGCATAGTATATTTTTCCTCTAAAAAAATTATTTGTAAGTTCCATTTCGGTTTGATGTCTTTGTAAAGCAGCTAATGCTCGAGGTATGATAATCTTAATAGTTTATAATGGAAGCAATATTATGAAAGTAAAAGTTAACATTGGAGTTCTGAATCAAAGATAGCCACACATCTCAGATTGAAGACACACTCAGACACTGATAAAGTCTCATATTTTTTTTAATATTGTATAGAATACAACAAAGGTTACTTGTTGGTATCAGTTAATAGAAGCAGTGACTCTAAAAATCCTATAAAAGCATGTTACCCAAACTATGACAATGTAAGGTGTAGTGGAGAAAGAACATAAGTATCATTGGAACATTTGAACATTCTATTTTCAGTGAAAGTATACGTTATGCTGCATCAGAAGAGTCCGCATGTGTTGTGTGTGACCCAGCGACTGCGAAACTCTGAGCTGATAGACCCGTCATTCCAGTGGCACGGGCCCAAAGGAAAGATTATTTCAGGTAGGATGTTGTTTCAGTTGTTATTGAGTGAATACATCAAAACGCCCTCGGACAAGAAGGGCATTTTTCTGTCACATATTTACCTACTCCCACAATGCCTTTACTTATAATTTCTCCTTGGAGCTGGCGTAGACATTTTTCACATATCTTATTTTTCAATAAGGATGTACTACAGGACCAACTTGTTTGATGAAGTTCTTAAGCATCTGTATTCCAAAATGAGTTAATTTTGTCACATAGAAATGTATATTTGCATGACTTATTTTATTAACATTTATTTTAAATGTTTATTTTACTTGTGTAATTATTTATTCTGACAACAGCTGATTTTTCCACGAGACACATTATATAGATGAGTATAGAACCTTGGCTTGTTGCCTTTCTAAAAACACACAATAGTAAGCTGTATGCTGAAGATTTGTTCAGTGAAGCACCTGCCCATTTTTGTATGTCTTCTAGTTGTATTTTTTGTCCTGTGTCTCTTTTCTCCCCTCCCCTCCCATCCTCTCCCCTGCTCTCCTCTCCTCTCTTTGTGTCTTACTCAGTAATTTTTATTTACAAATGTAATGCATTTATTATCTTGTATATTTCTCTCATTCCAGCAGCTAGTACTGGTCTGATGAATTAATGCTTTCTGGTCTGTGGGTTTCCCTACTTTCTGAATATTCACACAAACATTTATATAAGCACATGTTTGCATATATTTGGGTTTTTCTCTGTAACCTTGTTCTTATATTTTAAAAAGCAATATAATAGACTATTTTAGACTGTCAATGTTTTTATAAAGAATCTGATATGTAATATGTGAAATTTTATGAAACATATTGAAACGTATATCCTTGAACCTACAGTTTGGTCTAAGCTGTTGCCAGGACTACTGGCTCTTTTTGTAAGTTGTTTGAAATTCTAGTCCCTTGTTGCCACTGACCCTCAGGCAGATATCATCCTGAATTTCCAGTGTTGTTGCTTATAACCTCCCACAAATACTTACGTCTGCATTCTGAAAATATGTATTTTAGTTTTGTTAATGTGATTTTAATGTGATTTTTCTTGTTTTTTGGCCTCATCCCCAGATTTATTCAGGTATGATCGACTGAAATGTATTTAAGATGTACATGTGATATGTTGATGTCAGCGTGCAATGTGAAATTACTACCACAGTGAAGCCATTGACACATGACTTTTTTGTGGTGATATTTCTGATTCATGCGCTCTTAGCGAGGCTGAGATAGGCAGTCCCTGCTGACGTAGTCACTGTTCGGCCCCCAGTGCTTACTCAGCTGCTCTAGTCTCCCAGTCCTAACTCCGTTTAGCCATCATCCTACTCTCCATTTATGTGAGTGTGTGCTTTTTACATTCTACAAGTGAGATTGTATGTATATGTCATTCAGCGACTAGCTTGTTTTACTTAAAATGAATTTTATAGTAAAATAATAATAAATATAATATTTGCAGATAGTGTGTCAGATGCCATTCTAAGGAATTTAAATGTATTAATCACTTAATTTTCACAATCCTGTACAATAAGTATAGCCATTTTCCATCTTATATGTGGGAAAATAAAGACGTTGAGAAAATGTGCCATATCTCTGGTGTTGTATGTCTTTGATGCATGGCTTCCGAGTGTGTGGGTGGACTCTTGGTGAGGAATGAACTGGATTATCACCGTTTTATTAGTCTTGGTAGTTTTTTTTCAAGGGATTCATTAGACTATTCTGCTACTTGAATTTATGTGCATAGACGAGTTTGTAATATATTCTCTTAAGTATATTGATCATATAGTTTTGGGATCTATTATGTGAGTCACTAACCAGAAAATACATCATCAAGATAATATATAAAATATTAATTAATTTACTTTTTGATGTTAAATTGCCATTTTAGTAATTGGAGGCATTTTCTTTCTGAATTTTACATGTCTGAGACGTGGACAGTGAAGTTTCTAAAGCACACCACTGGTGTAATTAAATACAGGATTTTGTTTCTTGTGGTTTTCCGATTGTCAAAATACTTACATTTCTGCTTATGTTTTTAATGACTTCTGTAGTTTTGATGTGAGAGAGCTTTACTTCAAGCAGAGTGTGGAGAGTGCTGCTAGCTGTGATTTCAGAGGAGGCCATGGATTTGGAGTAGTTCAGCACACCTGGCACAACAGACAGGAGTGTAGTTTGATCATAGTTGCCGAGCTTTGGTTAGTTGCAGAAGGCTGTGTAACCAGTTAACCAAGGAAGCTGTAACCTGTATCTCCATACTTCTTCTCATTCTGTGCTGTTGTGAGCTTGTGTTTCTTGGCTTCTTGTAGTCTAGACTCTTACCCCGTAATAAGGTAAGAGATGGAAAGAGGGCTACAAGTGTAGTTGGAAAGCAGGAGTTATTTAAATTGAAGGCGTATGCGTGCAGGTGTGAATGTGGTAACTCAGCAGGAGAGGTGCTCCTAATGAAAGGGCCAGAGAGAAGGAGGGAGCATCAGAGAAGGCAAGAAGGAATGCTCCCCATCTTGTGAGCCTCATCTTGGGGTCTCCTTTGTGGGGTACAGCTTGTTATTTTAAATGAACATACACAAGTGATAGAGCTTGGGCAATGTTTAGTGCATGGGATGTTTTCTGGGAGGGTTTCACGGCAACTCCACATGCAGCTCAGCAGGCACATGTTCATGGTGTCTTCTTCATGGTCCTGGAGAAGACTCAAGTGCATCCTGGGAAAATGGGATGTGCTAGGTTGGCAGTAAGGAGGTGAAGTTAAGGTACAGGGCTGGAGGAAGAAGCTGTGGAAAACCTTCTGGCTCACTTCCTGCCTATTTTAACTTCCTGCCTATTTTGGGCCCTGTATAATATTTTCTTCAGGTATTTGTTCCTTAATCTTGGGGATGTTGAGGGAAGAAGATCCTTTTGTATTGACTTCATTCTGAATCATTCACTGCTAATGGTTGATGTCTCTGCATGGTCATCACTTATGTGAAAACTACAAAATTCTGCAATAGATAATCTTGACTAATAGTAGGATAATTGGAAAATGATCAAGATAGGATCCATGTTAGAAAAGGGAAAGTGCCTCTTAATGTTCCAGATATTAGAAGTTGGTAGGCATTCCTTAGCGCAAGTGTGCAACCACTTAGGAATAATATAAATCCTCGTGATATTTCTTTGCATGAATACACTATTGCTAAGTAAATGTGTCATATGCCATTAGTTCCTGTGTGTAGTGTGTATCAGTATGCATCCTGGAGGCATCTGTCTGTGGCCACTTGAGATGGAGAACCCAGCCTTGTGTAGTTACTGTAGAACTTGGTTAGTAGTCTGAGAGCTGCATTGCCCCAGACAGCAGACAGATTTTTTTAAGTACCTTCAGCAGATGTAGTGATATTCTCTCCCATTATAGTTGAAGAACTCATCAGGGGGCTTCACTGTCAAAAGTAGAATCAGGCAAGGGTGGCCAAATCATACGAGCTAGGAAATACTGCAGCCTTAATCTAGCAAAGCAAGACATGTCTGCTTCTCCTTTTACTTGTTGGTCAGGCACCTGAGGTTCTTCCCGAGTTGGGTCACAAGAGTAGTCAGAATTATCCTCTCATGTATCTGTGGTGACTGCAGAGGTGTAATACTTTTCCATTTAGAGCCTTATAGGAGCATGGTTTGTGATGTGTTTATGTAACCTCATTACTGAGTTCATCCAGTCTCAGACATGGCTTGGAAGGGTTTTCTAGTTGCTCACACAGGGTGAGGTCTTGGAGCCCGTCCTAAGCCTCTGGAGGAGGAGCCCTCTTTGCTGCCTGACGTGCATATCCTTTGATAGTGTGGCTGTTTCTCTTTTGGTTTTCTCTGTAGTGGAAAATAGCTGCAGAGCTGCCTGGAGAGAGCTGAAAATCTCCTTCCCATGCTCAATGGAATAGTTCTTGTCAATCTGTAGGCCTCTTTGTCCCCAAATTGCTGCCTTTGCATGTAATAGGTAGAAAGCCTATTTGGAGTCTGTGTGTCAATTTGTTGACATTTTTCAAACAGTTCACTTATACTCTGCAGTTCTCTTGAGCCTTTGCAGTACTGAGTGGCAGTGCTTGAGCTTCTGTTCCGTGGGTGAGATTCCCTGTGGCATGCCCATCCAGTTCCCTGCTTGTGGCCTGGGAAAGCAGTTGAGGACGGCCCAGAGCCTTGGGATGCTGCACCCTTGTGGGAAGCCTGGAGTGACTCCTGCTTCAGATTGGCGCAGCTCCAGGCACAGCTCTATATATCTCACTTTGCAATAAGAAAAAGAAAAAAAGTCTTCTGAAACACTAGCAGTTAAAGCCAAAGTGAAGAAATGGGACTTCGTCAAACTAAAAAGCTTCTCTACAGCAAATGGTCAGCATAGAGAAGACACAACCTATAGGATGGGATAAAATTTTGGTGAAATTTTGAGAAATTTTAGATAATAGAGTTAAATCTAGCATGAAAGAAGTACCGACCTTAATGAAAGTGTTAATTGAACTACTATGGTTTAGTGAGTTCTTAGAGCACGTGGTCCTTGGCACCTTGAAGGCGCTGCAGACTTAGTCACTTGAAGCTTGGAGAAGTGATAGTGTAAGGCAGATTTTTATGTTTGTATGAAGTTGCCTGAATACATTTTAGAAGAATACCATGGTTTCATTTTTTAAAATAAAAATATGGCTAGAGGGTATTTTATTAATGATCATGTTTTTTCAACTTTCTGGTTTTCACAGTCTGTAAGATTGTCAACGTTTCAGTGTAGACTTTAATACACTGGTGATTGCTCTTCCTGGAGTGAGGAGCTTTGGTTTCTTTGGCAGAGGACATGAGACCTCATCCGTGGCTTGACACTCTAATGCTGTCGTGCAAACTTCCTGGTGCTTCTTATCAGATTCTAATGATGTGGTTATTTCTGCTGAAGCGTACTTTAAGTACTTGCATCCCAGTAGTCTGTTTTAGGACAAAGTCAGCGTCAGAAGATATTAATTTAATATGTTACAACAGAAACTTCTTCTAAATTTGTATCGCACTTTCAGCAACACCCATGATCTATGTGCATTGCTGAAGGATGTACATTTATATCTGTTATTTCTGCTTCACTCTCACTGTCTGAAGCGAGGCGTCGTCCTTCACTTTTCCTTTGTAAGTTGTTTGCAAGGCAGAGAGGTGGTGAAATTTCTCATCTACTGGTTCAGACCTTGGCTGTCTACAGCAATGGGCCTGGGCTGAGCTGAAGCCAGGAGCTGAGAACTCCTGCTTGGCTATGTTCACGGGGACCAGCCACTGGGGTCAGCACCTGCGGCTTTCTGGTGTCCATGTAAAGAAAAACCCAGAACAGGAGTGGGACTCGGACTTGAACCCCAGTCCTCTGATGTGGCATGCAGTCATCTCAGTGGAGGCCTTATCTGCTGTGCCAGACACCTGTCCCTTGGAGCAAGGTTTTGCTTACACTAGAGACACCAATGACATTTTCATTACTCAGAAGACTCTTGTTTTGGAGAAATAAGTCCGAATTTTTAAGCAATGAATTGCTTAGTCAAAATAAAATAATTGTTTATTCGTATGGTACTAGAATTCCAGTGAATGGAATCTTAAGGTATTGACTGAGCAAATTTTAACTTTTTTGTTTAAAGATTTATTTATTTTCATTACAAAGTCAGATATACAGAGAGGAGGAGAGACAGGGAGGAAGATCTTCCATCCGATGATTCACTCCCCAAGTGGCCGCAACAGCTGGTGCTGTGCCGATCCGAAGCTGGGAACCAGGAACCTCTTCCAAGTCTCCCACGCGGGTGCAGGGTCCCAAAGCTTTGGGCTGTCTTTGACTGCTTTCCCAGGCCACCAGCAGGGAGATGGATGGGAAGTGGAGCTGCCGGGATTAGAACTGGCACCCATATAGGATCCTGGTGCATTCAAGGTGAGGACTTTAGCTGCTAGGCCACGCTGCCGGGCCCGCAAATGTTAACCTTTGAGGCATTTTCTGAAAGGGAGCCATGAAGGTGAGGAGGAGCTGCTTCCTTGTCTGGTGGTTTGTAGTTTTTTCATGTACCTTGACACTCATTGTGTTTCTCTGCTGTCCTATGAGATTTTTGCTACTTTGTTGTACACATGAAGGAGCTGGACTCCCTGAGATTTAGTTCTGCAGCTTGTGAGAGATGCAGGTCTGAATGCCACGAGAGGCTGCGAGGGGGCACGTGTGGCGTGGTCCGACAGGATGAGTATGGACTGCGTGCTGTCCACACTGGTTCCCGGCAGAGACAGTCACATGATCTAGTGTTCTGTTTTTCATTCTGTAATCACCAAAGTTATAACCAATGTCTGCTTCTATTATGTGTAGTGAGATGAAATATTCAGTTATTAAGTGATTACATTCTGATTGCTTTTGTTCTAGGTATATCATTGTTACATCACGTGCACTTTGTAAGCTTAATAAGGTTATACCTGAATGTATGTGTCTTTAACACACATTTTGGATATATGTATATGATGCATGAAATACATTTTCTATGTACAGAAAACAGTCTCTGTATTGCACCTGTTTGTTTATACGGTGTGAGCTGTGCTTGGAGGAGGTGCAGCTGAACGCGTGTGGTTTCAGTCACTAGTCACCTGTAACTTTTCCTTTGTCAGAGAACAGCACTGCGCAGGTGACATCCACAGGAAGTCTTGTGTTTCAGAACTTTGAGGAAGGCATGAGCGGAGTCTACACATGCTTCCTCGAGTACAAGCCCAGCGTGGAGGAGATTAGTAAAAATATTCAACTGAAATATGTTATTTATGGTAAGAAGTGCATTTATTTGTGTTTTAAAATGTAGATGTTTTGCAGTATTTAATAGCAAGGCTGCTCTAAGGAAAGTGTTCTTGTTAGTCTCTGTCAACAGAGGAGGGTTGCTGCTGCTTGCATGCCCTTGGTGCAGCGAGTGCCGAGCATCAGGGCCGCCAGCGGGCACTGTGGTTTAAGCCAGGGGTTTGGGAGCATTTAGGAACATTCATGTCCGTGAGAGAAAGCATGTTTCTGGCTTATGACGGAATTGCTTGTGCTCCTTTTGAATGTGCATTCCAATTGTTGCATATTTATAATACTCTACCCCTGCCTTCCAAGAAAAATAGAGTACTATTTACGTATGAGGTGAACATGTCAGAAGTTAAAATTGATTAAATATAGAAGTAGATATTTAAAAATAATGCACTGAATATCTAATGTAGTTTTTTGGCAAGCAATATTAATTTTTAAGTGCAAATAGTTTGTTTACATTTTTGAATCAATATTTTACCCATTGTTATATAGTCATTCATGCTGTTACTTGATACACAAATTTTATAACAGGTGTACATCAAAAATGTCACTCAGTCTTAATCCTGAAGCTAGTGCATATCACACTGCCAGCCAGGGGTGTGACTTTACACTGATGCTGAGAGCTAGTGCCTACTGACCCCCTGTTAAGAACAGTTAGTCACAGAGTGCCTTCCCGTGCAACATTGCCCTCATTGGATGTAATTCCATTTGTTCATTTTGACTTTAACTACCTGTGCTTCAGGTGATTTTTCTAAGAAGTATTTACCAATGTCAGTATCTTGCAGAGTGCTGCCTATGTTTTCCTCTAGTAGTTTGATGGTTTCTGGTTACAGATTTAGGTCCTTGATCCACCCAGAGCATGGTTTTGTGTAAGGAGAGATGTGGGGGTCTTGCTTCTTACTTCTGAAGACTGCTGATCAACTGTCCCAACAGTGTTTGTTGGAGAGAGCAGGCTTCTCCCCTGGATGGTTTTCATTCCTCTTGTCAAAGATGAGTGGGCTGTACCTGTGTGGGCTCAGTTGTGGGGTTTCTGTTCTGTTCCATTGATCTTCTTCTGTATTTCTGTACCAGTACTGGACTGTTTTGATGACCACTGCTCTGTAGTATGTCTTGAGAAACTGTGATTCCTCCAGCTTGATTTTTATTCTCCAGAATAGCTTTGGCTATTCGTGGTCTTTCGTGTTTCCAGGTGAACTTTTGTATCTGCTTTTCTATTTCTGAGAAGAATGTTGTTGGGATTTAGATTGGGAGTGTTGACTCTACATATTATTTCAGTAATATGGACTTTTGATTATGTTGATCTGGCTAATCCAGGAACACAATAGGTTTCCCCACTTTTATTTATTTAGTTTCTTATTCTATATCCTTTAAAGATGTTTTTCATAATTTTTTGTAAATATTTTTCATCATATGAAAATATAATTATCATCATAGAAGTTTTCCATGTCTTTGGCGTGGTTAATTGTAAGGTATTTAAGATTCTTCTCCACCATTTTAAAGGGACTGTACTTATAGTTCTTTCTCGGCCATGGGGTTATTTGTGCAAAAAGGACCATCAATTTATGCTCATTGATTTTGTGTCCTGCTACTCTTCCATCTCTTGTATGAGTCCCAACAGTCCCAGGGTTGAATCTTTTGGCTGTCCTCTGTAGGGAATCATGTAATCTGTGAACAGGGGTCATTGAATTCCTCGTTTGAGATTAGAATTCCTTTAATTTGTTTCTCTTGCCTAAAAGCTCTAGCAAAGACTCCCAATATTGAACAGCAGTGATAAAAGTGGACATTCTTGTCTAGTTTCAGATCTTAGACGTCTTCCTCACTTAGTTTATTGCTGGTGTTGGGTTTTTGGTATATTGCTTTGATTGTGTTGTAGAATTTTCCTTCTATGCCAATTTTTAGGGTTTTTAGCAAGAAATGGTGTTGAATTTTACCAAATGGCTTTTCTGCATCTATTGAGATGATCATATGGTTTTTATTTTTAAATCTTTGAGTCACATTTATCTAGAAACTTCTATATAGCAAAAGAAATTATCAACATAATGATGAAGCAGCCAACAGAATGGAGAAAGTCCTAGCCTGTTACAGAACCAAAAGGGGGCTATTATCCAGGATTTACAAAGAGATTATAAAAAAACTCAGTGATAGCATAGTAAACAACCCTGTGAAGAAATGGGTGAAGCAAATGAACAGACATTTTCAAAAGAACAAATTAAAATGGCTAATAGTCATGAAATAATGCTTCACTTCCCTAGCCATCAGAGAAATACTGCCAATGAAAAACTCATTGTGTTTCCACCTAACTCCAGTGAGGTTGGCCTACATTCAGGACTGTGCTAGCAGCACCTGCTGGTGTGGATGTGGCATAAAGGAACCCTCCTTCACTGTTGTTGGGAGTGTAGCCTAGCAGAGCCACTATGGAAGTCAAAGTGGAAAATGCTCACACAATTGAAAATTGAACTATTGTATGGCCCAGCTATCCCAGTGGAAATGAAATCTGCATATGAGATAGTGACCAATAATCCTACATTTACAGCAGCACAATCCAGATGCCCATCAAAAGAGGAATGCATAAGGAAACTGTGGTAAATCTGTCCCATGCAGTACTACTCAGTCGTTTACAAAGAATGAAATTTACCATTTACAATGACATAGTCCCACATAGGGATTACCATGCTCAGTGAAAGCAGCCAGTCATGAAAGGCCAACTGTTATCTGTTCTGTGAGAGAAGGTAGCCTTCTTGCAGAAACAGAAGATCAGCAAATGTACATACACTTATGCTTCTGGAGGAGCTAGATGATGGAGACTGGTATACCAAGAAGTGGAAATGTAGTACAGTGTGCATCTGCTGAATAAGTGGAGATCTCTCAATGAGCCCAGGGAACTGTATCATGAAAAATAAAAATGAGTGAAGACGTTGCTCTAAGTGCTTCATTTATATGAGTTGTAACAGTCCTCACATCATGACTGTATGGACAGTGCTATCTACTATATGTGTGTGTGTGTATAGTATCTGCTGGCTTTTTTTTTTTTTTGCTTTAAATATTTATTTATTTGAAAGAGTGACACAGAGCTTGGAAAGACAGAAATGAAGGTCTCCCATTGTTTCACTCTCCAAATGGCTCCCGCAGCCTGGGCTGGGCCAGGGTGATGCTTGAAGTGAAGTTTTGTCCCAGCTTCTCATGTGAGCACAGACCCAAGTGCTTGGTCATCTCCTGCTCTCCGAGGCTCTGCAGCTGGGAGCTCGATCCGAAGTGGAGCAACTGTCACTCCAACCGGCAACCGGGGGTTCTTCTGTGGGTGAGGAAACCTGGCCCCAGAATGGTAAAGTGACTTGGTTAAGGCAACAGTGAGTGAGTGACAGGATTAGGATTTGAATCCAAAAGTTATGCTTCTCTTGTTACCATTCTTGCACTTTTTGAGGTTCCTCTTCACACCACTGGTACATAAATGCTGGCAAAGGAAACCCCCCTGGAAAGTATCGGCTTTTGTAGCTTAGCCTATTTTAAGGTTTCTCGTGGCCTGCTGATTTTGCAGTTTGTTAGAGCATGTTCCTGGATTGAGGATTTAGTCTGTTTCACGTTGTCTCCACTTGGCACAGTGGGGCAGAAAGCTTGAATATCCACTTGTCATTTGTCTGCTTCATTTTGCAGCTGAAGTTGAATTCTGTAAGGGAGAAATTCCCAATGTTGTCCCGTAAAGAGCGTAGCAGTGTGTCCTGCTGGGGTTACGGGAGGGAGTTTGTTACCCTAATGTTGGCATTTGAAAAATGTGTGTTCTATTAGGTTAGTAATGGCATTTAATGATTTTAAATTATATTTCTTGTCTTTTATGGGTTATTTGAATTTTTTGTTTATATAAGCTTTGTGTGTCTGAATAGCTACTGGGAGATGTAGCTTATTGACACTAACTAGTATCAGATATATTCCATTTTGTATTTTTGATTTCCTTTAGTTTATTAATATTTTAAAGTACAAAGAAAGAGTTTAAAGTTTCAAAATTTTAAATCACCTGCAAATGACATTTTCTTTTTGCATAAAAAGTACATATTATTTTTAATAAAGAAAAGATAAGGAAATAAGAAATAGAATAACAAAATGGAATATGAGAAGTTTAATCAATGCTGGTTTCCAGAACAGCTTTAAAACATTCAAAAATAAGTGTGTAGACTATTTTTATTAAGGTGCTAACTTTATTTCACATGTATGTTTTGTTTCCCCACTGTTTCCATGTGTAACCATTATCACTGCCATGTACCCATGCAACTCCACACAGGCTTACAGCCATGCAGAGGGCGTCAGTCCGCCTTTCACAGCTCAACAGACATCTCGGAAGACGCATTCTTGGCAGTGGGACGTGTGGTTTTTTCTTGTAATGTTTTCTTGATGGCTCATGTTTCTCATTATGTTGAACAAGATATTCAACATCCCTTAGAACACAAGAATTGAGTTTACTTATAAATACATTATATTTTTACATACGTAGTCTTTTAACATTTCAAAAAATGATAGAAGCAAAATAATAGCTAGTTTTATTAACTTGAATTTGGAAAAGTGGTAGGTGAAAGACTAATTTTAATGTGCACTATTTAATTATTAGTAAATGTATATGTTTTTGTAATATTTATTCAGTTGATTCCATCACTTCCTGGTTCTCATTTTTGGTGGTGTTTTGGAGTTATTTTCATTTTTGCATTTCTGCAGCACTGGAGTGAAGTCTCAGGGTTCGGTAGTGCATCTTGGCAGTTGAGAGCGCAGTTCTGGTCTTCGTAGGTGAATGTCGTGATTTTGATAGTGTAGACATTAGGTATGCGACATAATCCCTGTCGGGGGCAGTTTCTTTGTGATGGATATGGAAATAATTCCATTCTTAAATGGTGTCAGGAAATTTACATGATTTACTGTTTACAAAGTTTACAAAGTGTTTTTAACAGTCAATGGCTGGGTAAGTGTGCTTTCTTCAGTAAACAGAAATATAATGTGTATAAAATTAAACACTGTGACTTTATCTTCAATCTTGATTTCTCCTGAGTAGGTGGCTCTGTATTTGAATTAAACAACCATGTTTTTGTCTGTTTTATTTTTTCACAGCTTATCGTGAGCCTCATTATTATTACCAGTTCACGGCGCGTTACCACGCAGCTCCTTGCAATAGTATTTATAATATTTCTTTTGAGAAGAAACTTCTTCAGATTTTAAGTAAATTGGTTCTTGACCTTTCGTGTGAAGTTGCCTTGCTTAAATCTGAGTGTCATCGTATTAAAATGCAAAGAGCTGGCTTGCAAAATGAGTTGTTCTTCACATTTTCAGGTAAATATAGATAATTTTTATAGAAAACAAATTGAGAACAGATAACTAATTAACAACTTTAAACTGACAGCAACATTTTGAAACTGTCAATGTTGAAAAAGTATATATATTACCTTCCTACTTTAATCAGTGCTAATAGCTCCCCCCAAAATCCTGCTGATTGTTGCATTTAATGAAAAATTTGTTCCGTCGCAACTTAAAAATTGCTATGAGAATTTACTACAGGATGGAATTTACTGAGCATGCTATAATAAGACGTAAGTCATCTTATTATGATACTAAGTGTATTATAGACAGAAGGAACCAGTGAACTAAGTGAGTTATTCTTGAAAGTGTAGAGGGGAAATTCAGTTCTTTGAAAACAAGGAATTGAATTGATATATGAGAACTTTAGCTTTATAAATGATCTGATTCTGAAAGGTGTTCAAGACCAGCTGCCCTGTGTTTGTTAAACATTGCAGTCATAGAAGGTGCTGCCATTTCCTTCCAGCCTCTTGTGCTGACGCTTTCCGAGAGAGAGAGAGAGAGAGAGAGAGAGAGAGATCTCCCGTCTACTGGTTCATTTCCCAGATAACTGCCGTGGTCAGTGCTGGGCTTGTGTAGACAGGAGCCAGGAGCTGCTCTGGGTCTCCCATGTGGATGCAGGGAGCCAGGATCAAGCTTGGGCCATGCTTTGTTACTTTCTCAGGCCATCAGCAGGAGCTGGATTGGAAATGGAGCAGCTGGGATTAGAACTAGTACTTGTGTGGGATGCTAGTGCTGCAAAGGAGTAGCGTGCTACACCACCTCACAGGCCCCTAATGTGAGACTTTTTTAGTTTATCTTTTTAGGAGCTGACTTATGCTATAGCACCACCTCTTTGTTTTTCTAGAGTCATAGTGGCTTATTTTGTCTCTGAAAATTTGTAACTAAAAATTAATTGCGTTATATACACTGTTACGTATAGGCAGATCATTGTATGAATGCATATGTGTGTTTTAAATGTTGAAAAGAATTCTGTTAATGTTTAAGCAATCAATACCCAGACATGAATTCTTAAGTTCACTGCAGATATGGTGTTTTCTTGACATTGGATTTTTTGATGAAAAAGAATGATTTGACATTAGGAAAATAGTTTTCACTTTTTTCTTTCCCTGCCCCCAGCTTAATTTTCAATGGAAGAGAAATGCTAAATAAATTATATGTTTAATTTTCAAAAAGGCAGTTTAAATATTGTGACACAGCATATGCCCTATGATAAAACATATTTTCTCAGTTTCATCTTTAGATGCTGAAAAAGGACCCAAGCCATGTTTAGACCATAGCTGTGAGGCCTCCAAAAGGCTGTCAAAGGTATGTCAGGGGATGCTGGAGAGACGTCAGCAAATGTCTTATCCAGCTGTTAATTATGTCACATTCCCGCGTGGATTCAGAAATAAAGACTTCACTCAATAGTAAACAATACGAACGTGAAGAAAATTGATATCTCATGTGCAGTGTTGTCAGAACCGGCATTTCCTGACTGATGATGGAATGGCGTCCGCATTTGTTTGGGCGTGTTGTCTCTGGTTGGTTTCAGGTAGAACTCAGTCCACGTTGCTGTTCTACATCCTAGATGATGAGAAGATTTAAAATGTAATATTTACTAACTGTTTTTATGTTGCTTCATGTCCAGCATGCACTGAATGAAATTTATGCTGTAGCTTCTAGCGCCAGGCTAATTCATTTCTCGGCTTTGTATTACGCTTAAATATTATTTAACCTTAATTTATGGCTGCGTTTTCTTTCCTGTGTCTGATGATATTTCACTGACCACAAATGCTTTATAAAAAGAGTATTTCCAACTGATTGGGCTGTATAAATTACGGTTGTTGGAGAAATTTTCTAGTGAAGATATACATATTCATATTGAGGTCAGTATCTGTCTTTTACCAGTGCAGTTGATATAGATGTTATTTCTTAATTTATAACCAGTAAGCATCTTGGAAGATAATTAAAGTCGGTAATCTACATAGTACCTCGAATTTCCATTTGAATTTTCTTTAGGATCAGCCTTTCTTTCCTGAGATAGATTTTTCTTTACTCCTAAAATAGTTTTAAGCTTTGGGCCACCAAGAGCAGAAAGCAGTTTCACTTTTCTGTAGTCATCTCTGAATTTGTGAGTACTATGCTAATGATTGTTGAACTAATATGTAATACGCATTTTACCTTCTATCAGTCTTCAAGCTGTTTCAATAGTTGACAACCTATTAAGATAATTTTTCTGGTAATGGTGTAAGTTTAAATATGAGTTCATATATATGTGTGTGTATAGGTAAACATATGTGTGTACACATGAATAGGAATCTGACCTCTTTAATTTTTCAGTGGAGATGGTCTCAGAGTGGTGTACATTTGTAGCTTCTTATATTCCTTCTAATACTGGATATCAGTATTGCACGTTAAATAGAAACAAAAATATGTGAAAGTGTCTCTGACTGACGCCTGAATGACGGCGGTCGTAGTCCCTCTGGAGACTGCCTGCGGATTTTAAGTCCCTCCACAGACATTGCCCTAAGGATTTTCCTCTCTCTTGGAAACCTTTTATGAAGCAATTTGTCTTTCCTTTTAATCATAAAATCTCATATTTAGCTTGTTATATTAAAATAAGAATTTGTTGCTGGATATTTCTGATTAATAACTTTATAAAGCTAGTATAATTCCTGTCACAATAACAAAACAGTTATTGACTATTTCTGGGCAGGATTTTTTCACAGAAGCACTTTAGACCTTCATGTAAAAATCGGACAAGAATTATTTACTGTGTTTTTCTTTAAATCATTCACTCTACAATTTTCAATTCCAGAACTTTGTTGCACTTAGCTTCTTGTGTATTAGTAAATACAATCCTTAGATTTTGGAAATATTTGGGAATGGAATGGAAACTCAATGTTACATAAACACAAATTTCCTTTGGAATATTTGGCCCAGTGATAGCATATATCACATTCGTAAGATTTGATCAAAATAAATTCTGTTTGCTTTCAGATGACCCATTTCTTTTCACCTTTCTGCTGTTGTTAACTACTATGCAAATGCTGTTATTTCCAGTCCTGTGTCTGTATAACAAGTCCAATGCTATGTAGTGTAAATACTCATCTTGGTTCTTGGTCAGGGTTCAGCTGGACACTCTACATCTTTTCATTTCCAGAAACTTTCAAATCAGCATGTCACCCTTTCCAGAAAGGCTTTGAATCTGTCAGTCAGTTTTGTAAGAATGATTATTTTTACAGTCATGTCTCATGTCCCTGAAAATGGTAAACCTTTCCATTTATTTACATTCTAAATAATCACCGCAATTTTTGTGATTTTCTGGTATAGAGATTTGCTGTGTTAATTTCTACATTGATCTCTAAATAAGCACCTGATTCTATAATATTCTTTGTGGGCAGATTTTTAAAATTATATTTATTGAATAAATATAGGGTTACATTTTCACTTTTATTTTGTTAAGTTTGAGTAATTTACATTAAGAAGCTCACATATTGCCTTTAAATTTTGAAAAATCTTGTTGTATTTTTGTTACTATCTTTTGTCATCTGAAAGACTGTGGCAGTGTTAGCTTGGCTAGGTTAAAGGTGCAGATAGCTGATAAAACATTGCTGCTGGCTTTGCCTGTCAGGTTTCTGGATTGGTTGTCAGAGGAGAGAGGCAGTCCAGTCTGACTGAGCATCCCTGAACTCAGAGAACGTTGAAGTACAGTCAGACAAGAGAGGGACTAGTTTGTGCTGGAACTTGGGTGTCCATGTTCTCCTCTTCTCAAGCTGCTTCTCAAGCTTTGTGTTGGACCAGGGCTTAGCCATCAACCCCCTCATACTCCAACTGGAACTTCCATCATGGGCTTTCCTGATGCTCTGGTTTACTGATGAAAAACTGTGGGAAACACTGGCCTCCTAATTTGATGAGCCCCTAGTAATCAGAAATGGCATTAACCATCAATAGGAAATGAGATATGTGAGACATATAATACATTTATACCAATTCTATCTATATGAAGAACCCTAATAAGTAATCAGTACCTAGAGTGGCTCTAGAAAAATAAAGTTTTGTCTATTTTTATTTGAAAGGCAGAGTTACAGAAAGAGGAGAGACAGAGAGGTTTTCCATCTGTTAGTTCATCCCCTAAATGGTCGCAATGATCAGAATTGGGCCAATCTGAAGCTAGGATCCAGGAGCATTCTCTGGGTCTGCCACATGGGTGGAGGGTTCCAAAGACTTGACTTAGCTCTGCTGGGAGGCCTTCAGCAGGGAGCTTATTAGAAGTGGAGCTGCCAGGACTTGAACCAGTGCCTGTGTGGGATGCTGGTGTCACAGGCAGAGGTCCAGTGAATTGATTCTGTGGCTTCTGGAGTTTGTTCCTTAATGTTAGTATATTGAAAGCTGTTAACAACTCTTCCTTCAGTATTAAAGTTCTGCTACTTCATTACCGGAACTCTGATCAACACCCTGATCTAGACTTCGTATATCATAATTTTCAGTGCTTTTGGAAAACTAGATTTCAAGGTCCTAATGCTCCCGGACAAAAGGTTGAAAGGAAGGTTGAACTGAGGAATTTGATTTCCAAGCTCACCCATCGTATAGCTGACCTAAGATTGTGTGGATATTCCCCAAAGGAGAGAGGGCCTTCAACTTGTTTAGTTGTGTGGCTGAATGGAAACCAGGTGCAGAGCCTCCACCATCAGCTGATTGAAGTACAAGTCAAGTTGACCTGTCAACCTCATTGGGTGTCTACTGTTAAAATGAGGCCACAGCCGGGGGAGGAGGGGATAGGGGCGGGATGGGGAACGAGGGTCTTTAAGTTAGGCAATGATGTGTGAGAAATTGCTGATAACATTTGAGGTCCCCATGTTCCAATATTTTGCCTCTGAAAATCATCATTTTCTCTCAATACTGTTGGCCTTTCTAGCTTCTATGTTGGAAATGCTCTCCAGCCACGCTGCCAGACTTCCCACCAGTGTCTGATTAGGTTAACCCTGCGTTGCCTGGGAAAATGTCATGTGCCTGGCCAAGCCGGTTTCTCTGCCTGACAGTGCTGGTCATGCTTAGGAGCCATTGGCAACACCGTTGTTGACTTTTGGGTCTGTGCCTGGGTCCTAGTTCCATCAGGTGTCCAGAAGCCCAAGATACAACCTGTAAGGAAGTATGCTAAACACTGAAAGAGGTGTTTGAATTTTGCAACGGCCCAAGCATGGATTTAGGGAATGTGTGTGGAGTGAGTTTGAGAGGTAATAGATCATGACAGAAGGAGCACCGAGTTTATCAGGCTGAATTGATTGAAATGGGCTCACTAAGGGAGGTATGGCTTTTAGTGTGTGGATGTGAAACCCACTGGAGGTGATTAGGTTCCGTGGTGGCAGAGGCCAAGAGGAAGAGCCAGCCACCAGAGCCCACGCAGTCATAGGATGATGGCCTGCCACGTTAAGAGAGTGTGAGGAAGGCTTACAGGTGCAGACCTCTCTCCATGGCCAGTTTGTTATGGCTTCGCTAGAGGTGAAAGCGTGCTAAATTCTTACCTCATTTGTGTGAGTAGAAAGGCTCCACGTCTAGTGATGAAAGTCTTACGTCGTTGGGACACAGACCTGGGGCTCTGGAAGCAGTTCGCAGACTGGAGCCCTTTCACAGTCTTGGCACCCTTTGAGCAAAGGAGCCATGAGGCTTTTTGGACAAGGGCTTGTCAAATGTAGATGATCAGTGATTCTTGTATCTTTCTCCAGAGAGACCTTCTGCCTGTTATCAGAGTAGCTGCACCAGGGGGAAGGAAATGAATTATTTGGGGACTGTCAGACAATGGGGTGCTGAGTAGAAAGGGTTATAGGTTGGGGTGGAGTAAAAATCAACTAATACAGAGCAGTGGAACTGAGGATGCCACTTGAGGCTTGAATACATAGATCTTACCGTACAAAAGCATCAACCTCTTGTTGATTTTAGGAACACAAGGCTAATTAGCACACATAAAAAGGCCATTATTAGAGTGATTGCTTAATTATTTTGTAAACTTAATCTTTGGAACAGAGAACTGGCAGTATAGCATGTATTGTATTTCCTCTCCCTTTAGAAGCATTCATTTTTATTTATTTGAAAAGCAGAGTAATAATGAGAAGGAATCTCCTGTTAGCATGCTCACTTACCAAATGCCAGCAGCATCAGGGCTGGGACGAGTCAGGCCTCCTCAGGAGCCTGGACTCCAGCGTCTCCCATGGGGCAGGGATACAGCTGTTTGAATTTTATGGCATTGGAAGTGGAGGTGCTGGGACTTCAGCACCCCTAAATGGACTGCCAGGACTTCAGCAGCGCCCCAGAGGGGCTGCAGGTGGCTCATGTGATGTTTTACTTGCTGTTCCCTAAATAGCCCTTCTCTCTTATTGAATCTAGTATGGAAAGAATGGAGCGAATATTTCACAGTATACAAAGATTTGTAAAAATGCATTTCTTCAAGTACATTTAATTTCTTAGTAATTCTTTAGACCTCCTTCAGTTAGAGGGCTGTCTCGATTGTGCTCATGTGCAATCCCACATATTCACAATTCAGTGTCCAAAGACTTTTGTTGTATGTGCGGATGTATCGTGTGTCATATTTAAATGTGTGTTTGGATCCTTAAGGAATGTCGATGATATATTTTCATTCTTATTTCTTGTATTATATTTCATGAATACTGAAGGAAAAAATAAGGACCTTGATTCTTCTTTATTTTGGCTCTAAGTCCATATGCCACCTGTTTTATTTTAAATCACATTGGGTTTTGGCTAATAATTTTTCAAATTGTGTTATATTTTAGGCCAAAAATCTCATAGAGAGGTTTTTTCACCAACAAGTGGAAGTTCTTGGCAAACACGCAGAGCCCCTGCCGGAGATATATTACATTGAAGGCACGCTGCAGATGGTGTGGATTAACCGCTGCTTCCCGGGCTACGGCATGAACCTGCTCAAGCACCCGCGGTGTCCGGAGTGCTGCGGTAGGCACCGGCTGCCACTCGGGGCTGTAACTGAGGAGGGCTCACTGGCTTCTGTCGGCCTGTCTCTCCAGTGTGCTATCATTTTAGGTGTTTCTGTAGTTAATTTGAAGTAGCATGTTTGAAATGTGGATAAGACTGTGTAGGAGAAAAAAAAGTCTTAATTTTGGCCTTGGTACCAACGTTATGGTGGGAGGGTGTTCGGGAGTGTTTGGCAGTTCTTTGGGAGGAAATGGAAGTGGTATTTGAGTCATTTCAAGTTACCCTTGAAAGAGACAAATGATACAGCTTTTAGAACAATTCATAGAAGAGTTATGTGAGAGTCTAGAGAGAGTCCTGTGTCACCGCCTTCTGCCTTTGTTCTTACGTTGTTTTCATTTGTTGTCACACGCTGGTGTGTGGCCCTAGCGATGAGGGTCTGAGCCACACTCTGCAGCATTCCTACAGAAGCGAGTGCTGTGCGATCGTTGGCTTGCGTTGAGTGTATCACGCACCATCCTCGCTGCTCTGTTGCCAGGGGTTGAGTGGGCCCAGCCTAGGTCTTCAGAGCTACTCTCGTGTAGATAGTGCTAAGTTGGTGTCGTTTTCATTTTGTCTCCACTGAGATTCGGCGTTTCTGCCTACTATCTCGAATTAGATTAAAAATGGTTTCATATAATAAAGTTCCAATATTCTCTTTTATCTTCAGTTTGTTTATTTTAATAGATTTGTCTTCAAATTATTTTTCTGATTTTTTGATTAAAAGAATTTAATAAAATATACTATAAATATATCTTAGAAAATTCCAAGTTAACAAATAAAGCACTTTCAAATGCCCACTCTCTAGCCATTTTGATAATTTATAATGATTTTTTGTCACTATAAATCACATGAAGAATGAAGAAATGTCTGGAAATGCTAAGTGTCAACTGTCTTCATATACATCAATGTTTTTATTCAAAGAAAACTTAAAATATCTGCAGTTTAACTAATTATGACAATTTTGAAGTTATTAAATGTAGATCTTGCAAGTAGAATGACAACTTTAAATCTAAAAATTACAAATACTTTTATCATTAAGATTTTCTGCATAAATATAAATTTGGCTGATGACGTACTTGTCAGGTTCTCGGTTTTCACCGTGTGGTAATAATCTCTGTTCTTTGCTATTTGATCAAACTTGGTAAGTGGATTTTTTAATGGAAAAGTTAGGTTTACACAGAGAGAAGGAGAGACAGAGAAAGATCTCGCATTCATTGGTTCATTCCCCAAATGGCTGCAACAGCCGGAGCTGAGCCAATCTAAAGCTAGGAGCCAGGAACTTCTTTGGGTCTCCCATGCGGTGTTCAGGGTCCCATGGACATGGGCCATCCTGCATTGCTTTTGCAGGCCACAGGCAGGGAGCTGGGTGGGAACTGGAGCAGCTGTCACATGATACAGCCCCCGTAGTGGATCCTAGCACCCGAAGAGGGGAGGATTAGCCAACCGAGGCATTGCACAGCGGGCCACGTCCGATGGTTTTCAGTGGTTGTGTCTGATGTTCACTTTAGTGTTTGTTGTTGTTATTTTTAATTTACTCATTTGAGATGCAGATAGAGAGGGAGTGAGAATGCACATTGCTGTATTCTAGGTCAGTCGTCAGATGTGTGCAATGGCTGGCTGCTGAAACTGGGAAACCTTCCTAAACTGTTACACGGGCAGCAGCGAAGCACTGAGGCCTCGCCTGCTGCCTCCCAGGCATGTGTGTGTATGCGTGTGAGTGTGCATGTATGCACTGTGCATGCATGTGTATATGCACACATGCATGTGCAGGACTTTCGTGTGTATATGTACACGCACACGTGCCCACACGTGTGTATGAGTGCACACGTGTGCATGTATGTGCCCCACATGTGTATGTGCACATGCGTACATGCTTTCATGTGTGTGAGAGAGAGAGAGACACGGTCTTTATCCCTGTATCTGTTGCTGATGAATTCTTTGTTTCCTGCCTATTGTTACTAGTGTTGTGAATGTCTCAGCACAGATCTCTTTGCTTTGGTTATATATCGGGTATTGAAATTGCTACATCATAATCTTCACAGATTGTTCAACAATTTATGCCAACAATTCATCAGCATTTGTGAACTTCTCATCATGCTTCAAAATGACAAAGTCAAAAATTTTGCATTGATATAAAAGCTTTTGAACAGCTCTATGTGTCTAAGAAACTACGTTCATTACGCTTGAGGAATAGTAATGTTTATTTGCTTCTGTTTTGTGGGTTTTTTCTTCTCTGTTATTATTTTCTGCTTCCCCAGTCTTAATATCTTTACCTAATCTAGTGTTAAACTTGTGACTGAGAAATGAAATGAATGTGTGCTATTTTCAAAACTAGAAAGATAAAGGAGGAGGCGGAGCACGGGGAGTGAGGGCAGGTGGACAGGGGAGCATGAGTAGGCTCCCGAGTCTGCGTCGTAACATATGTGAGTGTTTTCTGCTTTATACAGATAAATTTGTCCTCTCGAGCTACGGGCCTAAATTGTTTTCAGTGATGAATTCTGCTAAACAGTTAAAGAAATAATAACACAAGGATATGTTCTTTAAAAAAAAAAGGATCAAGTGCTTTGAGTTAATTTTAATGGACAAATGCATCTTGGTCTCAAACTTTAATGAATAAAGGAATTATGAGGACTAACAAGTCCTAACTAGGACGCTAAAGAAGCTACCTGCTCGTCCCTCCCCACTCTCCTCTCCTGCTCCCCTGTCACCTGCTGGCAGAGGCTCTGTGTCGCTCGGGTCTGTTAGGAATCCCTCGGGCTTTCTAGATTTGAGTGTCCGTTTCTTTCCAAGATTTGAACACTTTGCAGGAATTATTTCATTGTGTTGGCTTTTGTTACAAATATCTTTCCCTGCCTTCCTGAAGCAACCATAATGTGAGTGATTGTTCTTTAATTTTTAAAAATTTTTTCTTTTATCTGAGTTATTTTAAAAAACACACTTGTCTTCAGACTTAGAAATTCTTTTTTCATCCGTGCAGTTTTGTTGTTAACACACCTAACTAGTTTTGGTTTAATGTGTTTTATTCTTTGGCCCCAGAATCGTAGTGATTTTCCTTTTGGCAGACTTCTCACTCACATTCTAAGTTATCTGCCTGATGTTTAGTTGTCTCGCTTCCCTGTTGCTGGAGGAGCACTGTGTTCCTTCGTAGGCGTCATGTACTTGTTTTTATGTGCCCCGTTGCCCTGTGTATTTGTGTATTTGGTGGTTTGCCTCTGTGTCCTGGGATGGGGGACAGCCACCTGACACCACTCCAGGGTTCCGATGTGGCACTTCAGTATGAGACAAGACTGCTGCTCATGAGATTTCGATAGTTCAACCGTTCCAAATCACTGCTGATCTCGCCACTCCTAACATAATGAAATTATGAAACCAGAATCTGCTGGTTGACATAGTCCACCTTAGACTCGCCATTTGCCCAGTTATTCACTGCCAACACTTGGCTGGAGTAGTTGATAGATTTGTTCTGTCCTCTGTTGTGGTACCAGGTGTCCTCTGCAGACTCCAATGTACAGACTCCAATGTACTCCTCCATGTGCACCTGGACTTGCTGTTCGCTGCTCTGTGTAAACCACTGAGGAGGCCCAGCTCTGACACATGCACTGCACGGTCAGACCATGGAACCTGCAATTTGCGCTGTGGTTGGGGTTCCGAGTCCAGCAATTCAGTTGGGGGGATCCCCATAGAAACTTCATATAAACTGATACTTGTATGTGCTTGCCAATACAGTGTCCAGCACAGTCCGGCGCCCCAATCTTCTTATACACATGCTGGTGGTTGCAGTTACTGGGTTAGTTCTGTCTCCAGTCCTGTCTTTTACGCAAACCAATAGGTGTTGCAGCCCAGTCTGATCCTGCCCACCACACACTTGGCCTTAACTGACACTAATTGGAGCTGCAGCTTGGTTGGGGCAACTTGCAGTAACCCCCACCAGGCCTACCCCCTGCCCTGGTTCCCACGCTTGCCAGTATGTACAGCAGACCAGTCTACTCTGTCCTACATCCCACTCAGCTCTCATACATGTCAATGGGAATTCCAGCCTAGTTCAACCCAACCAGCCTCACTATTAGCTCACATATGTGCCAGTGGGTGCCACTGTCTGTCTAGTCATGCCTGTCCCAGACGTGGTTCTCATTCTCACCAGGTGGAGTGGCAACCAAAGAGGGGGGTGCCTACTGTTTCCCTACTGGGCCCACTCCCACTTTCGGATCCTGCACTTTCCAGATGGTTCTGCAGTTTAACCTGACAGAATTTGCCACCTGTGCCAACATCTGCCAACTGATGCTGTGGCAAAGCCCAACCAACTCACACTCACTCTGACTTATGCATGCACCCGTGGGAACAGTCAGTCCAGCTTGACTTTCCCTTGATCTAGCCCACATGAGGCTACCAGCTGTTGTGGCCCTGCCAGGCCTGGTCTGCCCCCAATCCCAGCCTCACATTCACCAATGGGAATAGTGCCCAGCAGGGAAGCTCCCTGCATACCCCCTGCCGGGTTTGCCTGCTCTCCCCCCAGGTCTCATGTGTGCTGGTTGGATGTCTGTGGCCCAGTATGGCATGGCCTGCCTGTCCTCAACATTTGCCAGTGGTTGCCATAGCCTGGCTGGGCTGGCCCACCCCCAATTCCAACTCACACTGGTGGGGGCTACAGCCTAGCCCAGCCCATTCGTCCCCCAGTCCTGGTCCTCATGTGAATTGGCTTGTGATCCAGTCTGGCCCGACCCACACTCCCTTCTGGTGCTTGGATTCGCCAATGGGTGAACTCATGATTTTAATATAAGGAATTTAGTATCAATAACTATCACCTTTATATAACTCCAAACTATTCTAATTTCAAAAATCTCATATCTTTAAACAATTATTCCAATTCTCTTCTAACTTGTCTACCTAGCCTCTAGCAATTATAAGACAGCTTCCTGTGTCTCTGAATTTACCTATTCTGCATATTTCATAGAAATCAAAACCTAAGGTATCGAGCACTTTGGCATTGCCTCACTCAGTCAGCAAGCTATGTGGAGGTGCCCTTGGTGATGCAGTGCTTCTTGGCAGAGTGTATGCACGCAAACATGACACTGGCATTGCAGATACTGTAGGCCGTCCATTGCGCATTGTGCACTTTAATTTTGTTTAAAAGTTGAACACTAGGAGGACTCTTCTCTGCGAGCTGGTCCTCCAGGGGAGCTGGCTCGGGTGCCTTACTGCTGTATGCTTTATTCACAGTGATCTGCAGCCCTGGATCTTACAACCCCCGGGACGGGACTCACTGCCTGCAGTGCAACAGCAGCCTGGTGTATGGTGCCAAAGCGTGTCTGTAGGCTAGCATCGTGACCTACTCGGTGGCCTATTGAGCATAAATGTATATTTTTAAATATGGATATATGATAAATCACTATTATGCTAAAATTAAACATATAGATTTTGCAAAAAGTGGTGTCATCGTCTCAATCACTATTTGACAAGTGCCTTGTAATTTTAGTCCTGCATATGACCCCAGAATGCCTCCCGCATGACCGCGTCTTAAAAGTGCAGTGCTGTGCACCTGCAGCTCGGCTGAGGTGCTGTTCAGAGCAACGTGCCTCGCGCCGCCTGCTGGCGCCGCCCTGGAAGGCAGCACTGATGCTCAAGGAATCGGGCTCTTGCCATTCACAGAGAGACCCCAGTTCAGTCCCTGGCTCTTGTTTGAATCCTCGCAAACCCCCAGGTGTGACAACATTTGGGGGTTAACTGGCAAATGAGAGAACTATCTCCCTCATGGTCTTTTATCTGCTTTTCAAATAAATAAAAATAAGTATCTGGAAATAAAATTGCTCCAATTATCCTGTATTGGATTGGTCCTGCCCCCGTTTTGAGGCTTTATTAAACACATCCTGTTTTATCTTGGCCGTGGCTCTTTCACAGCGGCTGTCGTTTCATCTTGCTTCATTCCTCTGGTTAGCCTTGAGGGCTGTTGCTCACTCTGCCTGGACCGTGGGAGCTTCATAGGCACTTTGGGCCGAGGGCTTTCTCGCTACCGTGTGAGGCCTCCCAGCCACAGGCTGAGCTTCATACCATTCCCTGTGGTGTCATTAAGCTGCACTTCAAAACCTCCTAAATTACCCTTGGACGTTTTGGAATGGAGTAACTGCGCCTACTTAAATTACATTTGTGCTTTCCCACTGAAGACAGAAATGAGGCCTTTTCCTTTTCTGCTAACAACCAACCCATCATGCAGTTTCCTTCACTGTTAAGATGGCGGCCAGCGCTGACCAGCACACTCAGGCACTCATACCGGGATGCTGTGTTTGAAAATGAAAAATGAGCAAATACTCGGTGGCTTCAACATCGGAGAAATGCGTTGAGTAGCTTACGCAATGAGTAGAATTGTGTGTCCTTATTGCATCAGCTTTACCCTCTGGGCCATTGCTGTCCCCCTCTTCACATTTCATGTTTATAAGGCCGTGGGATTGCACAGGCCGCAGACGTGGGATTGGAACTCAACTGCAGCTCCTGGCAGGCAAAGTTTGCCTACAATGTAGACTTGCTGCTCCTGTGAAGGTAGACCAGTTAGTAAACGGGCCTGTCATTTAGTTCCCCATGGCTAAGTGTAACCCCAGGAGTCTCACGGTTTATGGAATTTTTCACGTGCTTTCTTTTCTCCAGTAATATTTTGAACATATCCCTGCCAAATGAATTAGGAAAGATTCGGTGTAGATTTGAATGTGTATTCATCTGTGATTCTGTGTTGTGTGTTGTTTGCATTTTTTAATGCAAGTGTGCCAGGGCACATGTTTGGTGCAGCAGTTAAGCCACGACTCGGCATGTGTGTGTCACTCTGTCTGGATGTTGAGTACCAGTTCCACTCCTTCCTTCAGGTTCCTGCTAGTGTGCGTCCTGGGGGGCGGAGGAGGATGGCTCAGGTGCTTGGGTCTCTGCCACCCGCGGGGAGACTCAAATGGAGTCTTGGGCTCCTGGCTTCAGCCTGGCCCAGCCCGGCTGCTGTGGGCATTTGAGTGTGAGCTGCTGGGTGCTGAGGTTTCCTCTGCCTCCCTGCCTTTCACATAAATGAAAATAAATTTTGAGAAAATACAGCAAAATGTTAATAACTGTCTTGTGTAATGAGGTCATGTGTTGCTTTTTAAAAATGTGTTCCAAAATGTCTACAGTGAACTGAATTCGTTTTTTAAAATCTTAACAGTTCTGTACTGTGAAAATGGGAAGCGTGGTGTAGCAAACCAATGCTGCTGATCTTCGTGCATGCTGCCCAGTGCTCCCCTCGAGTCACTTCTCCACTTAGTCCTCACAGTGCTCCCCTCACAGTGCTCCCCTCACAGAGCTCCCCTCACAGAGCTCCCCTCACAGAGCTCAGGCTCACAGAGCTCCCCTCACAGTGCTCCCCTCACGGAGCTCCCCTCACAGTGCTCCCCTCACAGTGCTCCCCTCACAGTGCTCCCCTCACAGAGCTCCCCTCACAGAGCTCCCCTCACAGAGCTCCCCTCACAGTGCTCCCCTCACAGAGCTCAGGCTCACAGAGCTCCCCTCACAGAGCTCCCCTCACAGTGCTCCCCTCACAGAGCTCAGGCTCACAGAGCTCCCCTCACAGTGCTCCCCTCACGGAGCTCCCCTCACAGAGCTCAGGCTCACAGTGCTCCCCTCACAGAGCTCCCCTCACAGTGCTCCCCTCACAGTGCTCCCCTCACAGTGCTCCCCTCACAGAGCTCCCCTCACAGAGCTCCCCTCACAGAGCTCAGGCTCACAGTGCTCCCCTCACAGAGCTCCCCTCACAGTGCTCCCCTCACAGTGCTCAGGCTCACCGAGTTCCCCTCACAGAGTTCCCCTCCACCAGCAACCAGTGGGCAGGGGAGCTCACCAGGAGCTCAGAAGGTGAACTCGGGCAAAGAACTGCTCATCCTGCTGATTTGTTTGATCTGTCTACAAACAGAGTGGCAGATCCCAAGTGGTGCAAACAGGGTGAATTTGACAGCCCAGAACTCCACCAGTGTCACATCAGGTGCCATGTTGTGCAGTGCGGCAAAGGCTGCAGGACTGAAGGGAAAACAGGGAGTTGTGCTTGCGCTAAGCCTGGAGCGAACTCCCTTCCGGCTCAGCACATTGCACTGACCCCACAGAGAAAACAGTGCCGACTTTAGCATCCTGCAGGTTCCACCCAAAATAGGTCCAGGTGGCCCTAGGACCCAGCGGCCAGCAGTTTCCTGACCAGTACTCAGTGGTCAAGGACAGCTTGGTTCTCCCTAATCCCAGGCAATGCTTGAGCCAGGAGTGGGAGGAAGGCTGTGCAGGCAACAGTGAGGCCACAACACAGGATCAAAGGGGGTGGAGAGTGGTGAGGCAGGAGTGGGAGGAAGGCTGTGCAGGCAACAGTGAGGCCACAACACAGGATCAAAGGGGGTGGAGAGTGGTGAGGCAGGAGTGGGAGGAAGGCTGTGCAGGCAACAGTGAGGCCACAACACAGGATCAAAGGGGGTGGAGAGTGGTGAGCCAGGAGTGGGAGGAAGGCTGTGCAGGCAACAGTGAGGCCACAACACAGGATCAAAGGGGGTGGAGAGTGGTGAGCCAGGAGCTGGGACTGCAGAGACCGAGGTAGAAGCCTAGCAGAGGAGCTTTGGACTGAAACTTGCTGGAGAGAGTGGCACAAGTGATTGCAAATGAAAATCCAGACACAAAATGCAATCAATAATAAAAAAAAAACTTGTAGGGCAGTGGACAACGCAGCCTAGAAACCATCCCTAAAGAGAGGAATCTGCTAACCAGAATAGCAATGACCAAGAGCAGTAGAAGACATAGAGGCACAATGAACATTACTGAAACCCCGCAGAGGACCAAAAGACTTTGTCAACCTCAGAGTTAACTGAGGAAGACATTGAGAAAATGGGAGATAAAGAATTCTTAAAAACTTGTTATAAAGCTTATCAATGAGAAGCACATACAGGAGTCCAAGGAATTTAAGGGATATATTATACTGGAAGTAGCAACACTAAATCAAATGAAATCTATGTTAGAATTTATAATACAGTGGAGCAAATTAAAAATTCAGTGGAAAGCCTCAATAATAAAATGAATGAGAAGAAAGAATCTCGTAATTGGGAAGATATTTCTTGATACATTGGGGAAGCATTCAAAAAGCTGGAAGTGGAGCTAGGTAAAGCTAATGAAAAGTATTCAAGAGCCAAGAGACACTCTTGAAAGGCTAAATGTGCCTGTTGTGGGAGTTCCAGAAGGCACAGCAATAGAAGCTGGGCTTAAAGATATATTCAAGAAAAACTTACCTAATGTGGATAAAGAACTGGAAACCAATGAACAGTGGGGGGCAAACTCCCCTCGGTTGATCAAAAGCGACCATTGCCACCACACGTAGTAATCAAGCTCTCTTCAAGCAAACATAAAGATCCTTAAATGGGCATGTGTGAAAAACCCACTGACATGTAGAGGAAAGGCAGACCCACAACTGTCCTCTCAGAAGAAGCTCTACAGGCCAAGAGAAAATGGAGTGACATATTTCAGATTCTAAAATGAAGAAGTTCAGAATAACATACCCAGCAAAAAATGAAAAGTGAAATAAAATTCTCCCACAGCACAGAAAAGCTCAAAGAATTTGCCTCTTCTAGATCTGACCTACAAATGTTGCTTAAAGATGTTGTCTTGACAGAGAACAGGAATAGCACCTACCAAAACCAAAGGCAAATGTGAAGAACATTCCAGTAAAATAACAACTTCATAATAAATAAATGAACAACCCATTGCTAAAATGACAGGATCGAATTACTACCTATACATATTATCCTTGAATATAAATGGCTTAAACTTATCAATCAAACATAGATTAGTGGACTGGATCAAAAAACAAAACCCATTCTTTTGCTATTGTTACATTTATTGGAAAGGCAGATTTACAAAGAGGAGAGACAGAAAGATCTTCCATTTGCTGGTTTACTCCCTAAATGGCCACAGTCACTGGAATTGGGCCAGTACAAAGCCGGGAGCTTCTAGGTTTTCCACACAGGTTCAGGGTCCGAAGGATTTGAGCCATTCTCCGCTGCTTTCCCAGGCTACAAGCAGGGACCTGGATGGGAAGTGGAGCAGCCAGGACAAGAACCAGCTACCATATGGGATCCTGGCACTTGCAGGGGGAGGATTAGTCAACAGAGCTATCTTTTTGGGGCACACCTTGTCCATTATTGTAAGGGATTGCATCGCAAGGAAATCAGACTGTGGTGGCTTAAGAGGTCTGACCGCACCCTGGGCAGTGGTGGAATGGGCATGCTGTGGAGGCAGATGGTCTGTCTGCCCGTGGGGTTAGCGCTGCTGGTGGGCAGTGGCGATAGCCTGGTACAGCCCTGACGTGCTGGAGCAGTCTTCAGCATCGACAGTGCTGTTTGGGAGTGCATAGCTAATGTTTTCCCCTAGTGTGTTCGTGTTATCTCTGTGCACATAGTCAGCCTGCCTCAAATTTCCTCATGAACAAGATGAAAATTCACCAGGACATATGCAGTTGTGTAATGAGGCAGGGTTCATGGCAGTGTGATGCACAGAGTGTAAATCTTCCCCTGGAGGCTTTTTCTGTTCCTTTTCTGCTGTTGTCTCTGCGTGCGTCCTGCGCCAGTCTGCTGGTGTCTGGTCGGGCTCGCAGTACAGTGCGTGCCATGTGGAGACCAACAGGGCATGGAGGCAAGAGCCTTGTGCTTCAATAGCTGCTTAGTAACAATTTTGGAATGAAAAAATTTACAGAGGAACTGGCTGAAAGGCCTCAAATGTTGATCCTTTGCTCTCTTACTGCCTGCGCACCTGCGAGCCTTTGGGTCATCAGTGCACTAAGTGTGGATGCCGTGGGTGAAGGCAGGGCTAGCCTGTACCGCTCACGGATCAGCTCAGCGGGGCTTCACAGTAGCTTCCTTTGCTCCCTGTCCAAATGAACAGAAAACAAGGTTCATTTGGAAGGCTGCTGGGGCCTGCACTTGGCTCTCACGCGCGTGTGCACTGAGCTGCTGGTCGGGGTGCTCCCGAAGGATGACAGGGCAGTGCTGCAGATCTTACTGGGCCTTCCTGGGAGACGGGATGGCTCGTTGCTCTGGACACGAGGGTTGCTCAGCTGACAGCGAGGTTTCTGTACCGTACTTGAACATCAAGTATAATTTATGCAGACTTTGATTTCCCTTAATTTTCCTCCATAAAATCAAGGGAATCTCCCTTACACTACTACATACTTGCGCTTCTTGAACAGGAAGCGGATCTGCCAGCTGACTGCGTTCCTCAGCTTAAGGGGCAGGGTCGGTATTTCTAGGAAACACATGATGAAAGGTAAAATGCACTTGCTCTTAGCCAGAAGGCTGTGATGAAAGGTAGAATGGAGCGCGTGTGCATTTAGTTACGGTCCACTGAGGAGGAGCTTGGAGAGAACTTAGGAAACTCGTGCACAACCTCTAGTTCTGCATTGTCCAAGTGACTGAGAATGAAACCCAAGGAAAGTGGTGTGCTGTCATCAAGTAAAAGGAGCAGCTGGACACGGCCGGGGCGGAGAGCAGCCCTGGGCGCTGGCCGGTGCACTGCCTGGGGAGACAGGAAGGCAGCCTGGCAGCTGGCACCTCCGCGCACACGTGTGGGAGCGGACCTGGCAGAGAGATGCAGGGACACAGCAAGGAGGGTTGACAGCACAGCATTTTTAATTTGTATCTATAGAAAACAATTATATAAGCTCTCTAATAGAGGATTATAGAAATACATTTAATATATAATAGTGTACTTTCGGGTACTTACTGTGAAAATAGCACATTTATTAGAGAGAATTTTATGCCCAAAGTCCTTGTTGGCGTTGTAAAGTACACCCATTTGCTTTTCTTGCAGTATTTGTTATCACAAAAAGTAAAAGTACCCACCACTCTCCAGCGTTCCTCATCAAAGTGTCCTCCTCTGGAGCGGCAGTCCCCAGAGTGCTCTGGCACGCTCACAGCAGTCAGACACTCCAGAAAGCACGAGCGTTTCGCTCCCCAGGGCCAACCCGGGTGCTCGTGACGGCATGGTCCTCGGAGAGCAGGCCTACATGTGCCTGCACTCGTGTCTCGTGCACATGGCTTGCCGTTCGATCCTCCACGTGCCTTCCTCGTAAGTGCAGTGGCATATGGTACATTCGTCGGTCTTCACTTCTCTGCCAGCTGGGATGACTGCAGTTTCTGCAAAGCAGTTGGGTCCTGAAATTCAGAAAAGATGTCTTAAACTCTGGGTGGGCACAAATACGTGAAGGCAATCAGCATTTCGGGGCATCTGTCAGGCACTGTCACAAAGGACGGTGGAAAAGTTAGAAATCATATCAAGTACACTGGATTCTTTCTGAAATGCAACCAGCGCATTTCTGTGACAGCACACTGTTCTCCAGCATCGGGCCGTCTCTTCCTAGGGCCTTGAACACAGCCGAACCAGCAGTCATCTGAGCGAGTGATGTCTGATCGTCTCCGAGGAGGCATGGTTAACCAAAACCTTCCAGGGAGCATTCTGCTTGTCCTCGTCAGAGGAGGCTTCCGTGTGCACAAGGCTCGAAGGAGTGTGAGAGCAGAGTAACCCCCCTGCTCCCGGAGCAGGTCCACAAGCTTCCCCGACCTCCAGTCTGGGCCCCTGGTGCAGGTCTGGCCCCACCCACTGTGGCTGGGGCACCGCACGCGGAGCAGCCGTCTGAGCACGTGCAGGGGGGTCTGTCAGTCTCCCAGAACTGCAGGCCTTCCGCCACGGCCGGTCAGCAGCTCAGCCGGTCAGCCAGGGCTGCCTCTTCAGCACGCTGCTCTCTGCGTGAGGTCAAGGACGTGAGCACACAGGTGTAGAAAGGTTGCAGTGGGAGCTGAGGCAGACGGCTTCTCAGGGACTTGAAACAGATTATGTACAGTATTAAGACATGAAAAGCTGCTTTGCTTCCAAACCCCCATCTAAACTTCAAATATCAAAAAAGAACTATAATAAAATTCAAACACCAGTGATTACTGCAGCCTAAAGTCTTTGAACTCTGAACTTCACCAATTTGCCAAAATTCTCATTTTCCCTATTTCTTTGTTTCTAAAGCCTTTGACAATGTGCTCAAACAAGCAAAATATGTTTAATTAGAATGTGTGAAGTCACCCAAGAGATGAAGCACTTTCATCCGCACAGCGTTTCACAGGGAATGAATCCCCAGAGCGCCAGGGTGAGCACTACCTCCCAGGAGTCGCCACCGCCTTTCTGGTGCTTTGCAGGCCAGCCAGGCCACGGCCCCAGCTCCTGCACGGCATGCCCCGGAGGGGCCCTCCCCCTCCCAGACTAGGTCTTCTTGCCTCCCTCCCCCCGCCCTTCGGACACTGCCCTTGAATCCTCCCTCAGACAACGGGTGGCTCTAACGACCCATTCATTTCAGAATGACTGTCAGAGTTCCGTCTGGCTGTGTGGAGTTCAGTCATCCTAATGTTTGTCCTAAAGATGCACATAGATGCCTGTATCCTTAGAGTCAGGAACTTGTAAGTCCCGTCTCTGGGTGACTACGTCCAGTACTGCTCCTTGCCCTCTGCTACAAGGACCCCTCAAGCCAGCTTCCCTCCCTGCCCTCCTGAGCACTTCTCTCAGAACATTTGTCCTAACACAAGATCTCCAGGAGCCAGGCTAGCGCCACCCAGGAGTTGGCTGAGGAGAGGTTGAGGGGCAGGCCAGGGGAGGCACACACAGCCAAATGCTGTACACGGCTGGCTTTGGGGCTGGGGGACTCGGGGGTCTCTTAATGCTCGGGAAAAGACCATGCTATCCACATGCTGTGACTGTCACACTGAATGCCCTGACTGCCGCACTGCCTGTGTGCCCTGACTGCCACACTGCCCGTGTGCCATGACTGCCATGCTGCCTGTGTGCCCTGACTGCCACACTGCTCATGTGCCCTGACTGCCACGCTGCCCGTGTGCCATGACTGCCACGCTGCCTGTGTGCCCTGACTGCCACGCTGCCCGTGTGCCCTGACTGCCACGCTGCCTGTGTGCCATGACTGCCACGCTGCCTGTGTGCCCTGACTGCCACGCTGCCCGTGTGCCATGACTGCCACGCTGCCTGTGTGCCCTGACTGCCACGCTGCCTGTGTGCCCTGACTGCCACGCTGCCCGTGTGCCCTGACTGCCACGCTGCCCGTGTGCCCTGACTGCCACACTGCCCGTGTGCCCTGACTGCCGCACTGCCCGTGTGCCCTGACTGCCGCGCTGCCCGTGTGCCCTGACTGCCACGCTGCTCGTGTGCCCTGACTGCCATGCTGCCCGTGTGCCCTGACTGCCATGCTGCCCGTGTGCCCTGACTGCCATGCTGCCCGTGTGCCCTGACTGCCACACTGCCCGTGTGCCATGACTGCCACACTGCCCGTGTGCCCTGACTGCCACACTGCTCATGTGCCATGACTGCCACGCTGCCCGTGTGCCATGACTGCCACACTGCCCATGCCCTGACTGCCACGCTGCCCGTGTGCCATGACTGCCACACTGCCCATGCCCTGACTGCCACGCTGCCCGTGTGCCATGACTGCCACACTGCCCATGCCCTGACTGCCACGCTGCCCGTGTGCCATGACTGCCACACTGCCCATGCCCTGACTGCCACGCTGCCCGTGATGTGATGCAAAGGACAGGGATGGTTTCAGCGCCAAGCGAAAGGACTGGGAATCTGTCCCACTTGCATTTGGAGCCGTCAGCTGGCTTCGCTATGAAGGAGCATGGGTCTCATTAACCTACTAATCTGACAAATCAATGAGAGAACACGATAAATACTGACGACACCGGTCTGTTCTCAGGCTGTGTGGCGCCTGTAAGTCAACTTGTGTCACACAATGTTTACATACAAGAGTTTTCTGTCTTAAGTAATTTCTAAAACAGAAAACTCTGTAACAGTTAAGCAAGCAGATGGCACTGGATACTCACACCAAGTCTGTTTTCATCTTCTTTTCAGCTTACCAAATGACATGAAAGGATCATTTATTTTAAGGAGAATTGAAATACTGAAAAGTTTTATCAGTTAACTGGAGTTGGAATATATAAAATTACAATTTTTAAATATTTGAGCATCTTTTAAAGTGTCTCAGTTTATAATTTGTGGTGTATCTAATAGCACAAATAAATTATGGATTATTTTAGTAAACATTACTGTAAAAATGATTTGAATCAATAGTTCAGCAAGTGGGGAAACTTCCGTTCAAGCTTAATTCTGGGGCCTGGCGCAGTAGCCTAGTGGCTAAAATCCTAACCCTGCATGCACTGGGATCCCATATAGGCCCTAGTTTGTGTCCCGGCAGCCCTGCTTCCCATCCAGCTCCCTGCTTGTGGCCTGGGAAAGCACTAGAGGATGGGCAAAAGCCTTGGGATCCTGCACCCGTGTGGGACCGGAAGAGGCTCCTGACTCCTGGCTCTGGATTAGCGCAGCTCCAGCTGTGCTTGGCTTCAGCCGCTTGGGGAGTGAATCAGCAGATGAAGATCTTCCTTTCTGTCTCCCCTCCTCTCTGTATATCTGTCTTCCCAATAAAACTTTAAAAATCTTTTTTTAAAAAAAAGCTTAATTAGAATTTTTGTAGTAGAAATCCAATCAAATGCAAGGTGTTGGGGGAAGGGTAACTCGCTCTGAAGTCAGACGGTGGCGGTCTGGTCGAGACCAGCACGACCTACGGAGGGAGCCCGAGGATTCGAAGAAGCAGCACAGGTGCTGAGTCGCACGCAGCACAGGTCCTGACCACCTGCCCGGTCTCCCCAGACAGCCCAGGCCGTGGCAGATGACAGCAGCCAGAAAATTATGGTAAAATGCTATAATAAAAGTCATGTGATGCCCCTCCCCTGTTTTCTCTCTCCCCTGTGCTGTGTCGCGCTGCGCACACCTGTCTTCCCATGATGGCATGAGGCAACACGATGCCTGTGTAGGAAGACGCAACGAGGCCCGTGTCCTAAGCCCTGTGAGGCAGTGCCACTGGGTAGGGGTCAGCGGGAGCTCAGGCCTTGAACTGCAGCTGCTCTGACATCGGCGATGGCCACCGAGTGGCCAGTGCTCAGGTAGAAGGCAAGAACAGCGCCAGCAGGACGAAACCTAAGCAGGCCGGACACTGGAATTGCCCGACATGGAATTTTAACTTAAACTTCCTCACCATTCTCAAGAACATAAAGGACCAAGTGTTCAGGGGAATGGGAAGTAGAGAATCAAGCGACAGTCCCAACACTGGCAGTGTACCAACAGCAAGAAGTCACTGCCGCAAGTCAGGCAAAGGGGACGCCTCTGAGACAGCGGGCTGGAAGAGACTCGCCAGAGCGAAGCCCCGGGAGGGAGGGGCTGGCAAACAGGGAAAGCACGAGGCAGGCCTGGAGGGCACGGTGCTGAGGTCTGACCCGGGCAGGTGTCTTAGCCTTCAGGTTTCTGCAGCACAGGCAATGCTGCCAACGTAACATGGGAGCAGCCAGTGCGTGGGCGTGGCTCCGTGTGGCCCAGCAGGCTGCTGGACTGGCCGGGGAGCACAGCGGTCCACCTGTGGTCTAACCTGGGTGAAATGAAAGCACCAGCAGCGAAGGAGAAAACGGGGCACAGGCAAGCATTAGCCAGAATGTGGTCAGGAACAGAGCCTCGGGAGACAAGGGTGCAGCGTCCCATTCAGGCAGAGAAGAGCTGCTCTGCCTGTAAAGGAGCGGGCTTTGAGGAGAGGCCCTCGGCAGGTGGCAGAGCCGGAGGAGACGGCTCGGAGGTTTGAATGCAAACAGTTAGACGTAGCTGTTCAAGCAGTGTTCTTCAGGAAGCCAAGTGCCAGTCACGGCTTCATGTGAACAGGTGCTGCGAAGCTTCGCCTGGCCTGCGGGCTCATCCCAGGCGGAAGGAAGGCGTTTGGAAAGAGTTGGAAGAGGTGGATGGACAAGCTCACACATGTGCGAGGCTGCATGGAGAAGGTATCGGCTTCTTGCCCCATTCCATTCCACAGGGTGCACTGTGAGGACACTCTAAAATTTGCTGGAAAATGAAATCAAAGATCATCTTGATGGAAAGACAATTGGAATCTCTGGCTGGGCGTTTCGCAGTATGCATGTCCTGTGCATCGTTGAACCCTCTTAGTGTGACGGTCAAGGAAGTGTTTGGAGGAGCAGTGCTGTGAAGTCTTTGGGGTGACCGGAACACCAGTTAACGTTTCTACCTAAAGGGCCCATGAACACAGCTGGAGCACCCACTGGGGAAAAGT